CAGTATAGAGCCTGAAAACATTTTAGAACACCTCTCTGAAGCAAACAGAACTCAGGACTGGAAGTTGGCATTGTTAAGTTGTAGTCGATTCTTACTCCCCCCTCATGTTGTGTACCCATATATTATCTAACCTCACTGAGTCTTATTCTTTTGGTTTAAGAAGGGTAATATTCCACTGAAGACGAGTGAGCTCCAATTGAAATTAAATACGAGAGTGTTTTGGGCCTCCCTGGTGGCGCAGCAGGTTGAGTGCTGCGCTGTGAAGTTGTCCGCAGCCTCTGCAGCACGGGTTGGATTCCTGGCCCGGCCTGGGAGAAACCCACATGGCATGGTAGACCACTCCTCCCTCACCCGTTGCCCCCCTCAGCAGTGTCTTCAGTCTGTCTTCCTGTTCTGCTCCCCACTCTGTCTCTGGTGAATTCTCTCACCCTCCTGCACCTCTGACCTGTACCCCAGTTATTGTATAAATAAATAAAATCTTTTTTAAAAAATACAGGAGTGTTTTGAAAAATGTGAAGGTAGTTTAGTGAGGTGATAAAAGCAAATCTAATAACTTAGTGTGCAATAGTTGGCCTAGTTAGAATCACTAGCTATATCACACTGATGATGACATTTAAATTCTCTGTTAATCATACTTCACATACATGCTTTCCCATCAGTTTTGTATCATTGAGGTAGTATAGGTATGGAAGCTCCAGGTGCTGTCAGGGTTTGGGTATTTTACCTCCTTTTTCATCCCAACTCCCCTTCCTCTGTGACACCAAGCAGCTACATTTTTCTCTACCACCTTTTCTTTTCATTTTGGTCCAGAATTTAATTTGGGGTGTTAGAATTATAAATTTAATGTCATCATCACTGTTACTGGGCACAGACTCTTCTGTTTTTAAACTTGCTTTTCAGTTGATGTATATCAGCTTTTCTGTCTCTTAGTTGAAGAGTTCTATCTGGACCTTAAACACTTCTCATTGCTATAGAGGGGTATGTTATTTCTAAGTAAATGGGGACCCAGGTGGCATAGGGACAGGGAGAGGTATGCCCCTTTGCCAGGAGAATTGCTATGATAAAAATACTTGAGATGCCCTTTGCTGATAGACACTGCGCATGTGAAAACCCCAGGATGATTATTGTACCATTTCATTTATGTAACAGCCCTTTGAGATAACTATATCAATATTACCCCCATTTTTGTGGTTACATCCTTGAAGAGTAAGACAGTGGTTTTCTTAGAAATTATAATTTAAATATGAGCGTGTTAAAATCAGAATCTTCTACACTGAATTGCCCACCAGAATATATTGTGTATATCTGTTTTGCTCATGTTTGATGTCTTAAGAGATAGAAAGGTCAGGAACAATTGGAAATTGGGAAAAACAAACTTTTCGGGGTAGAAAAGCAGATATCTTAAAATCTTGGTTTGGTTTTGGGAGACTTGTTGGAAGGGGAGGGGTCCTGAAAATTTCCCATTTTCCCTGACTGTTAGAAATTGGTAAGAATTGTTTTTTTTCTTGTAACTATTTGAAAGTGTCTGATCATTCACTTGAAGAGGCTTGTCTGCCATTTTTATCTCCATGCCTTCCTTCGTCTCATGAGCTATAGTTTTGGGAGGCCAGTGCTTGCTGGGAACTTCAGTGGCAGCCAGGGCTGCAGTGAACCATTCTTTGCTCCTCTGGCATAGCTGGTCACTATCACCTGAGGGTCCCTGTAGTATGGTACTAGCCTTCCTTAACTTTCAGGCAAGTAGGCCCCTTTCACAGTCGCCCCCCCCCACCATGCTTGTACCCCATATTCATATGGAAACCCATACACATTCCACAGAGATTTGTAGAGAGAAGCTTGGAATGTATTTGTTTGGAGTTGTGTTTGTTTGAGATTTCAGTTCTTCAAGAAAATGTCTGAAAGAAGAGTGGTTATGCCTGATGGAGCCGGTGGATGCCCACAGCCCCCAATCTGTTCCTTGTTCTTCTCCTTACTTCCTGATTCCATCCACTCATTTCCTCTCTCCCTTAAGTAAGAAATATCCTTTCCTGGCCTCTGAGAGGTAGGCTTCCGAGAATGCTCTTTGCAGATGGAATGCCCCTCTCCTCACAGCTCTGTCATGTTCGGCATGAAGACAGTATTTTAGTGGTCCACCCACCTGTGCTATTTCCATCACAGTCCCACTGGTTGGCACCCAATCACTGAGAAGAGCTTGAGGAGAAGACCTCAACAGCAAAAAGAAATGTCAGAAGCCCTTTACACCATACCTACCTAGAGGCAGTAAAGGCCCATCTTTCAACTTCAAAGAAAGCTTTGACCAAGAGTCACATTCAATCCAGAAGCCACCTGGATCAGAGAATAAGGAGCTGCTGTGAGTGGTCACTTTTCTTAGCATTCTGAGAGGACCACTTATTGGTGGGGTGTCAGAGGAACTCTTTAAGTGCACATGTGAGAACCAGATGCACAGTTCGGTGGCTGCTTACCTGGGGGATAGCTGGCCTTCTCTCCTCACCAGGGACACCATGGTTATGCACACATCTCTCCATCTGAGGGGAGGAGCATAATGCTGTTGGTCCAGTGGCTCTCTTGGGGAGACTGGTGAGCATAACTTTGAAAGAGAGGGTACAGTGTTACTCTTAATACAGTCAATCATGGAACCCCACCCCCTTTCTATTTTATATTCATCATTTTTCTTACCTCATTAAAGTGCTTAATTTTGATATAATGGTATCACTTGACATAAGTAAATAAAATCCTAGCATTTCCCACATAAGATAGTTGTGAAATTTCTCAAGAGAAAATGCTTTTTTGGGTCTTGGGACTTAAAGCTACCATAATAGTGTTAAAAGCTTGACTTTTGGAGACATTTCTTTTTCCATTGCTTCTATTTGAAAAGACAATCTTTCACTTATGTGCGGTAAGGCCTCTGGTTGCATTCTTTTTTCCTCAGATCAAAACACATTCTTCTATGCTTGCTAGTTTTATTTTTAAAAGAGAAAGTCAGGGAGAAAAATAATAATCCAAGACAAGGCAGACCTAAAATGGCCACTTACTAAGTCATCTTCCCTTCAGACCTTTTCCATCTAGCAAATAACTGAGTTCTCAACTGCAGAGAGGAAAGTGGGTTGCGCCCTTGCTGGATGTATCCTGCTCGCTGCACAACTGCCTGCCTTTCTTCTCTAAGGCCAGCTCAATGCACACACCGTGCCCCATCCACCTAGGGTGTTTCCTTTAGTTCACCTTGTACAGAACGTATACTCCTCACCAAACCAGAGACCACTGGGAATAGAACAAAAGTACAGAGGTCATCCCCTGCTCTCAAGAAGCCAGTATTCTAGCTGGAAGTAATAAGAGCAAGACATGAAATAGCAGTAAAAATAGAAAATAGAATATGATCACTCCCTGAACATTTAGATTATGAATGTGTAGCATTTGGGGGAAAGGGCAACTTGTGAGAATTCTGGGGTAGTTACACATGTCTCCTGGAAGGAAAGATGTACCTTGACCCAAGCCTTGAAAGGTGACAGGAGTGTGGTGAAATGGCCAAGGAGATGCTGGGAAGGAAGGACTGCAGCACCAAGTCATCGTGGCTGGTGGGGACTATACAGCCCAGGGTGTCTTTGCAAAGTGGTGAGAGCAACCCAAACTGCAGCCTCTGCTAGAGGGGGCAACAATGATGGGCAATGATGACAGGAAGTAAGTGGAACTATGGAGCTGGCAGCAGAGGGCTTGGACTTGCTCTTGACATAGTAATAATGGAGACCTTTGGGACTTGAGAATTGTGTGTGTGTGAATCTTTTGCATTGCTTATTTAAATGTTCACTTTCCAAGGACCCTTTTTGGATTTTGACAGAACTGGGTAAAAGGAAGAAATGTTGGGGTATTAAAATTAAACAACAGGGCCTCCCTGGTGTCCTAGGGGTTAAGTCGCAGCACTATGACCTGAGTTAGATCCCCAGCCAGGGAGATAATCCACATATGGCACAGCAGACCTCTCCTGTCTCGCCTGCTGCTCCCCTCAGCAGTGTATTTCAGTAGATCATCCTCCTGTTCTGTTCTCCGCTCTGTCTCTGGTGAATCTTCTCACCTCCTACACCTTTGGCCCACACCCCAGTTCTTATATGCATAAACAAATAAAAATAAATTTTAAAAATCTGTATATAAATTTCAACTCCCCCAAATTCCTCCGCTAATAGCCTGCTATTGACTAGAAACTTTACCAATAACCACTCTGTTAACACATATTTCGTGTGTTCTCTACATTATGTACTGTACACTGTATTTCTATAGTAAAGTAAGCTAGAGAAAAGTCTAAGTAGATCATAAAGGTCTTCATCCTCATCATCTTCTCATTGAGTAGGCTGGTGGGAAGGCAGAGGGGGGAGTTGTAAAAAAGCCCTGTGCAAGTGGACCCGTGCAGTTTAGACCTTGTTGTTCAGGTTCAACTGTATGCTAATTTTTCTCTCCTTTATCCTTTCTTTTCAGTAAGTCACATCCATTTACTCAACTCCCTTCCTATCATACTCAACAAAATCACCACTTAAAAAATTCCTCCTGATTGGGTATACTTTTTTATTTTGAGCCAACCTTGGCAAGTGACCCAACCTGGCAAATTTCAAACCTGTTGTTACATTTTAATATAGCCAGAAGATCCTCAGAGGTATTTTGCTGTGCTTCTGCAAAAAAATTGTATGGATGGCAGCTATAGCTTTGAAATTCTTTATAAAAATTGGGTTTCCTTTTCTCCTAAACTTGCAGCTTCTATGCTCATTTGTAAATTGTATAGCCTCCATGATTAAACAAACCTCTAAGGAGTGATCAGTTACCATCCCTTAAGTAAATTTTTCTAAGACTCTTAGATAAATACTACCTTTGGATTGAGCAAGCACATGTTTTATAGTGTCTTGGTTTGGGTGGGTGAATGTTGCATGGAGGGGCACGTGTTAGCTCTTCAGGTAGGAGCTCTGAACCTGCCTCTGCTCGCTTTGGAGGATCTCTTCTCACCTGTGCTCCCCCATTTCTAGCCTAAACCTACCAAGGGACGAATGCGCATCCACTGTCTGGAGAATGTGGATAAGGCCCTTCAGTTCCTGAAGGAGCAGAGAGTCCATCTGGAGAACATGGGGTCCCATGACATCGTGGATGGAAACCACCGACTGACCCTTGGCCTCATCTGGACCATCATCCTGCGCTTTCAGGTAAGGGACCAGGCCTTCCTCCCAGGAACCAGGTTAAAACCTCATCTCAGAAACACATGTGCAGAGTGTATCACCCCCAGCTGCCCTCCTCCCATGGTTTTGCTGACCCCTGAAAATTTGGGCTTTTCTTAAAGAGGGATTTCAGGCCTATATCCCAGGTCCCCACTTAAAACCGGTCTCTGCTTAACTCAGTTTTCAGAGGCAGAGGAATAGATTGTGGTTGATGCTAGGTTACTAGCTTCAGATCTCTGAACTTCATCAGAATATGGCATGTACTACCAAATATTTTTAGAGGTTACTTAGGATTATGACGTGTGTGAGATCTGTTTCCACTATCCATTCTCCTTTGGGATGTGAAGATACGGTTTTCAAGAGGAAAATGCAAAAAAGCCATGTTTGTTTCGAATTGATGATTTTTATGGGTTTGTTATACTTGAGGAGAAGGTTCTGAGTATATAAGCTTTATAAGCTGAAAGGTACTCTGGAGGTCATAGTCTAACTCCGATACCTTAAGTAGAAAGACACAGGGGAGCCTTGCCCAGAATCCCACAGCCATTTGGGTTTGCAGTGCACACCTCTGACCTCTTAGGAGACAAACATCTTTGGCCTGATCACTGATTGTTCCTCGAGGTGCATGCATGAAGTATTTCATGCTCATGCTTTTCAATTAAAATTTGAAGTGCAAGAAATACTTGGGAGTGTCAGGTTACTCTTCAAACAAATGTCCTAACAGTCATGTCTCCTCAGTGGCTGTGTTCTTTCTGCTTTTCCTTCCTCTTCTCCCCCTTTGATAAAGTCTGATGGACTTTTCTGGGTGAATAAAAACTCATCAGAAAGGGGGAAAACAGTAATCAGATCATAGTTCCATATGTTTTCTTATTAAAGCTTTGAAATCAGCCTGTAACCAATCCCCCTTTCCTTTTCACTTCCTCAGGGCTTGGTATTGGTTTTATGTTTATAATGTTCAGGGTGTGTATGTGGGAAGGATGGACGGGAGAGGGTTGGAGTTACACAAAGAAATGGATTCTGGAATGGGTGGTCCCCAAGCCTGCCTGACCAGGTTGCTCCCTCAGGAGAGCATTTTCCTAATTCAGACTCCCCGGTCCCAGCCCTGTGGTTCTAATTAAGCAGTTCTAACTAGGGAACCCCTGTTAAAAACGAACATCATTCATGGAGTTAATCACAATTAAGAACACTTGCAAATAGAACTATAGATTTCATCATTTTAATTCCTGAATGATTTGAAAGTGGAGCAAATACCATTGAATTCACTAATTATTTGCTCTTGGATCTTAGGCCAACAGAGGTAAAATTAGGACACTCTTTGTTGAGCCTTTGAGTTTTGTAGAGTAAAAAGTTCTATTGGCCTGTAGTAATCAGAGCATGAAGGCATCCTGTCGGAGGCCTCTCGACATCGGGTCAGTGCCCTTGTAGGGGAGCTGGCATAGGCGGCCCTTTCCAGGATTCTCAGCCTGAATTGGGTTGAGTCATTGACTAATTAGCTTCCTGCCATGCTGCCTTTTTCTGTACTTGAACCTGTAAATGCTGGTATGTACTTTCTTCCTTTGTCTTGAGGTAAGAGGCATAGGGTGCTGATGTCACCACATGGCCAGCAATGCTGGTGCTTTACCCAACCTCCTCCAGCAATTTTATTAAGTCATCACCCACTGTATAATTTTTTTTTCCTTTGCTATCCAATTTTATTTTATTTTTTTAATTTTTTTTATATTCCCCATACAATTGCAACCCCCTTATTTTGAACCCAATCCCTCCTTTCCCCGCCCCCCACACCCCATAGAGTGTCTCTGGTTCGTAGTTGTTTGTTGATTTTGATATTTTCTTTCTTGTAGTTATTCTTTTTCCTGGTCCCTTATTTAAGTTTTCTAGATTCCTGCTATGAGTGAGACCATCTGGTATTTTTCTTTTTCTTTCTGGCTTATTTCGCTGAGCACGATCCCTTCCAGCTCCATCCATGTTGCTGCAAATTGCATGTGTTTATCTTTTTTGAATGCTGAGTAATGTTCCATGGTGTATATGTACCACATTTTCTTTTTTTTTTCCACTTTAAATTTTTTTTCTTTTTTTTTAAAAATAATAAATTTTATTTTTATATTCCCCATACAATTGCAACCCCCCCCATTCTGACCCCAATCCCTCCCCTCCCGCCACCCACCCCTCAAAAGGTGTCTCTGGTTCATAGTTTTTTGTTGATTTTGATTTTCACTTTCTTATAGTTATTCATTTTCCTGGTCCCTTATTTAAGTTTTCTAGATTCCTGCTATGAGTGAGACCATCCGGTATTTTTCTTTTTCTTTTTGGCTTATTTCGCTGAGCATGATCCCTTCCAGCGCCATCCATGTTGCTGCAAATTGCATGTGTTTATCTTTTTTGAATGCTGAGTAATATTCCATGGTATATATGTACCACATCTTCTTGATCCAGTCATCTATTTTTGGGCATTTGGGTTGCTTCCAAAGCTTAGCTATTGTAAATAGTGCTGCTATAAACATAGGGGTGCAGGTGCTCTTTGGAATTGATGTTTCTGTGTCCTTTGGGTAAATACCTAGGAGTGGAATTGCTGGATCATATGGAAGCTCTATGTTTAGTAGGTCCAGAAATCTCCACACAGCTCTCCATGGTGGTTGGACCAGTTTGCACTCCCACCAACAGTGCAGGAGAGTTCCTTTTTCTCCACATCCTCGCCAACATTTGTTGTTGCTAGTTTTTTTAATATGTGCCATTCTCACTGGTGTAAGATGGTATCTCATTGTAGTTTTGATTTGCATTTCCCTGATTACAAGTGATGTTGAACATTTTTTCATATGTCTGTTGGCCATTTCCATTTCCTCTTCAGAGAAGTTTCTTTTTAGCTCTTCTGCCCATTTTTTGACTGGATTATTTTCTTTATTTTTGTTGAGTCTCATCAGCTCTTTGTAGATTTTTGTGATTAGTCCTTTATCATTAGTGTTGGGTGCAAAAATGTTCTCCCAGTCAGTGGGGTTTCTCTTTGTTTTTGTTATTGTCTCTTTTGCTGTTCAGAAGCTCTTTAATTTGATGTAGTCCCAGATGTTGATCTTTGCCTTCGCTATCACTGCTTTGGGTGATTTGTCTGTAAAGATGTCTTTGATGTGCATATCATGTAGTGTTTCGCCTATATTTCCTTCTATGTATTTTATGGTTTCAGGTCTTATGTCTAGTTCTTTAATCCATTTTGAGTTGGTTTTTGTGCATGGTGTGAGGTAGTAGTCAAGATTCATTCTTTTGCATGTAGCGACCCAGTTTTCCCAGCACCATTTATTGAACAAACTTTCTTTGCTCCAATGCATATTCTTTGCTCCTTTGTCAAAGATTAGTTGACCATAAATCTGTGCGTTTATTTCTGCATTTTCTATTCGGTTCCATTGGTCTGTGTGTCTGTTCTTGTTCCAGTACCATGCAGTTTTGATGATTATGGCTTTGTAGTATAGCTTGAAGTCTGGGAATGTGATGCCTCCATTCCCTTCATTTTTTTTCAGGCTACTCCATAAATTTTGTGTGTTGATTCTGCATTAGCCAAAGCCCAGCTCACGTTCTGCCTCTCTGTAAAGCTTCTCCATACAACCTACAAAGATCTCTTCTTTTTCCCCCACCTCATAAATAGACCACCTTGTCTTAAGATTCCTGGACTACATGGTGGGGTGGGTGAGAATATGTGTGTGTGAGTCCAGAACTCCCAGGATGTGTTCAGGAGGCATCTCTTAAGTACTGATGACAACACACAGGTTTTATTCTGCTGTCCCCTAAAACATGGTGTGAGAAAGTAGAATGAAAATCTTTTGAGTTTGTCTCATCTGAATAAGGAGCTGTCTTCATTTCAGAAGGGTAGATGATGCTTCTAGATCAACAAGTCTGGAAACCTTCCTTTTTCACACAGAAGCATAAGAAATTTGACAGTGGTTAGTGTATAAAATCCCATTTTTTTTCGGTGAGTTTGCGTCTTAAGTCTGAGTGAGAGTTGTTCTTTCACGTCCACTTGCAGTTTATGTAAACTCAGATTTCACTTATCACAGTTAAAAATGGAGACTCTAAATGTAATTATTTCAGTTCCTAGATTTTTTTCACCCTACTTGAAGGTTTCTAAGTTACTAATCTTAAATTTCATCTTCTCTATCTTTCAAAAATAATCATGGGCATGTTTATAGATTAAATGGAACGACATTTTATAGGGGCCAGGGCAAGGAATCTTGGAATGATTAGAGCTGAAAGATGATGGATGGTCTCATAGGCCAACCTCATACCTCCAGCCCTCATTTCCACATTTTATTATTATAGGCAAGATGCTAAAGACAGATGGGTATTTAAAGCATTTGTGCAAAATCACATGACTGGTAGCCAAAGCACTCAAAGTTGTGGTTCCTGACTCTGCACTCAGCACTTCATATTCTTTTTTCATTTACATAGGTAGCCACTGTTAATGTGGCCATTCCTCAGATTGGAAGCACAGGAACTTGCCAAAGGACACACAGTAGGTGTTGGTGCCTGGATTCAGATCTAGGCAGTCTGACCTGGATGCCAGTAGACCAGGCTCTGTGTGTAGTATTGAAAATATGCTGTCTGTGAATGGCTTATGGATACAGGTTGTTTTAGTCCATATGGGCTGCTATAACCACAGACTGTGTAACTCTGATAATAGAAATTTATTTCTCATAGTTCTGGAGGATGGAAATGTGAAAAGTGCCAGCTTGATTGTGTGAGGAACCTCTTCCAGGTCACAGAGTTCTAGTATCTTCACATGATAGAAAGCATTTGGGATCTTTCTGGAGCCTCTTACAGTGCATCAATCCACTATAATCTGATAAGTGGCTGATCTCATGAAGGTAGAACCTTCATGATTTAAGCCCCTTGCAAAAACCCCACCTACTAAGAGGGGTTAGAATTTAGGGGTTAGGAGGTGCTGCTATTTAGACCATAGCAGCCCATGGAAGCAAAGTATTCAACTACATCTTTTATTAGATTTGGGTCAACTTTCAGAAAATGGTATATACAGTCTTCCTCCATGAAGGTCATACCCTTCTTTAATGGTGTGGAAAATGCTTGGCTATGAAAAACTGAAGTTAATGTTTTTCTGGGGTTTGATAAGGTTCAAGGGCTACTGTATGAACCACTGTGCTAATTTGAGGTTAGAAAGATCAGCTTGAAAGTAGAAATGATCCCTAATTGGTGCTGGGAACTCGCACAGGTAATTAGTTTTCACTTCTGCCTTATTTTTATGCAAAGTAGAAAAGCCAGTTCTGATTGGTATTTCTTGAGGTGAACCCTGATGGTAACTGCAGTTACCATTAATTAACACTCAGTAGTTAGTCTTCAGGGCTGGGCTTTGGTGTAAAGTTTGCTCTCTATGTGCATACAAACCTATTCTTCAGTGACTTGTCATTATGAGGCAGATGACCCATATGTTCTTTATTTTTTCTTTGTACTTCTTAGATCCAGGATATCAGTGTGGAGACTGAAGACAACAAAGAAAAGAAATCTGCCAAGGATGCATTGCTGTTATGGTGCCAGATGAAGACAGCTGGGTGAGTGTGAACCCAAACGGGATTAGGAATTGCTTCTCATAGCACTAAGTTCTTCTGTGGTCATCACTAATAGGTGTTGACAAGTCTCCATTGAGAAATCTTGTTAAGTCATAAACAGTTGATTAACATTTCAGCTCTCAAGAGTGGAAGGAATTGTGATTTATATTCTGGGCTTATCTCCACAGAAGTTTCCCTGTCTTTATTAAGGAAATGCCAGAATGCAGTAGATCCTGAATTTTAAAACACTGCAAACCATTTTTAGGAATCACATCCATGTTATTTAAAACAAAGATTTGTGGGTTTTTTGTCCCTTTAATTTCTGCTGCTTTGAGGAGCTTTGTGCCTCAAACATTGCGTTTTCTTCATTTATTGTCTGTCTCAGTTCTCCTTCCCTTGATTCTATTAAAATTTCAGTGAAATACATATTTTAAGAACAGCATTTTTTATGTTGCTCACTGAAATTGTCAGGTCTCATAGGTATTTATTGAGAACTGTTTTTGTACGAGGCTAACTGGAACGTTACTCTCAGAACTACTTGGAGGACAAATGTAACTGTAATGGACTTGCTTAGTCAACAGTAGCAAGCATGCGGCCTAGTATGGAGATTAGTTAACAGGAACCTTTACTCAAATCACAGATACAAAGTTTTATTAATCATCAGTATGGTATAGCATAGCTAAATGGTAGGGATTTTTTGCAGGAAGGTACTTGATTTCTAAAACTTCATCCCATAAACTGGTAATACTACCTACTTCCTCTCTCCCAAAACAATATGTAAGTTTGGCTCTCGGCGACTACATTGTCCTGATATCCTGAAGGCAAGAAGAAGCAAAAAGGCTTCAGATGTCTAGGTTGTGGTCACTTTTTCCTCAGTAACAGTGGTGTTTTAGATCTAGGACACAGTTCACATCTTTTGTCTGAATTATTGAAAAAGAAAGGTCACATGATTGTGTATTTTTAATTTACAGCAAGCTGAAGCTGAGATGATGCTTGCTCTGACTTGATTGTTAATGCTAATAATCTCTGCCTCAGATTTTTACAGTGCTTATTACACACTTTTTTTTTTTTAAACACTGCATTTAACAAAAGCATAAACCTCTCTTTGATAATTCTGTTGCTTTTTCTGACAGGTACCCCAATGTCAACATTCATAATTTCACCACCAGCTGGAGGGATGGCATGGCCTTCAATGCACTGATACATAAACACCGGTAAGTCCCGAGAAGTCATACAGTCCCAAGAAGTCACACAAGCAGTTTTGTGTTAGGATGTTGACACATTTCTGTAGCATACCAGGGGTGACTTTTGATCCTTTTGTCCACTGCCTTAGCTGTTGGCACCACTGTGGAAAGTCCTGCATTCCATGTGAGGAACATGTGAGAATATGAAAATTCTCCCAAACAAAATACCCAAGTTCACTCACTACCTTTAGTTTTCTTAATAAATATTGAAGTGTATATTCAAAAGTCAGGTTTCATTGTTTGATGATTAAATAATATAGAATTTCACTTCTCTTAAGTGGTGAATTTAGTGCTTTTGGAGTAATGATTATGGTTCATTTGATCATTTTGGTTCTGCTCTTATTCTATATAGGCCTGACCTGATAGATTTTGACAAACTAAAGAAATCCAATGCACACTACAATCTGCAGAATGCATTTAACCTGGCAGAGCAACACCTTGGCCTCACCAAACTGCTGGATCCTGAGGGTAAGGACTTGAGGTTAAAAGGCAGGTTTTTAGCATCTCCAGAACGGAGGGTCTAATAAAAGTAATCTGCTTTGTATCAGTTTGTTTTGTGTGTACAGTATACTTTGGAAAATAACCAAGGAAAAGGGACTTAATTTTGGTATGGAAGTTACTTGAGGATTTGTTCAAAGGGTTGCATGTGACAAGGGCTTGAAAGATGCTTATGTCTTAAACGTGGTAAAGGAGAGGCCGTGCTAGATACAGGAAATTTCATGAACAAAGGTGCAGAACCAGGAAAGAAGATGGTGTATTTGGGGACTAACAGTTCATTGGGTTTAGTGTTTGGTAATAATAAGAAGGCAGGAAATGTCCCAACGGGTTCAGCTCTTTAGAGGTTATTCAGAAGGCAGGAGAGAGGTACTGAAAGTTCTTAGCAGCTGTGCTCACAGAAGAGAACCTGCACAGGCTTTTGATGAATGCTTTTTTTAACTGATATTTGTGGCAAGTGGCATGGTTTACAGGGGGTTGGAGATTGGAGGCTGGGGACCTATCAGGAGATTGTACAATGTCTGCTTATGAGCAAAAGTCAGTGTAAATGAGGAAGGTGCATCAGAAAAGCAGAATTGGGGGGTGGAAGAAGGAATAACAGTTCTTTCTTCTGGCTGTCTCTCTTGGCAACACTGCATTCCATTCTGTACATGCAGCTTCTCTTTCTCTCTGGGTCCCTGCAGCAGAGCCTCAGAGACCGAACAATGTGGGGGCAGTTCCACAAGTTGTAACTCCCTTGTCTAATCAAATCCTAAGTCTATGCTGTGTTTTAGCACAAATCATCACAGGTAATGTTTTCTAATTTTGAGATGCATTTAAAAATGTAAGAGAATTTGTTTGTAGTGTTAGAGCTTCATAGGTCCTCTAATCTGTAAGCAAAAATTAGAGAAAACTGCATATGAGTGAAAGTTTAGAGTTCTTATAAATATAAAACAGGAAGTTTAATTCCCCAAGGGCAGATTGAGGTCATAGGCTGCCAAGCAGGCTTCTTGGTATTTTCAATGCATTAGATTCACTGATCTATTCACTACAGGAAGCTGAGATAAAATTATCTTTGTCCTAATCCATTAAATGATTTCTCAACATAAACTGAAAACTGAAATTCCTTAGGCTGTGATAAGTCTTTGTACTTAACCCCTACCTTCCTATGGGAAGTTCTTCCTTGGCCTGAGCACTTTGTGGTTTGATAAAGCAGCATTTTTTTTAATCACTATGACAGAGTTTTTTCGTAACTTGTTCATTAATCTTTCTAATCATTACTTAGTATGAAAAGGGCATTGTTGGGCCTCCCTGGTGGCACAAGGTTTAAGACTCAACCTATGGAGCTATCCACAGCCACCACAGCACGAGTTCGATTCCTGGCCAGCCAGGGAGCAACCCACATGGTGCAGCAGACCTCTCCTGACTCGCCCATTGCTCCCCTCAACAGTGTACTTTGGTCCACCTGCCTGTTCTGTTCCCCACTGTGTCTCTGGTGAATCCTCTCACCCCCTGTGCCTCTGGCCTGTACCCCAGCTCTTGTGTGCATAAATAAATAAATCTAAAAAAGGGGGGGAGGGGACATTGATGTCCCCAAATCACAAGACAAGCTAAAAAGACACATAGGCTAAGTTGATGTCACTTAGCTTATGGGTTTGATCTTTATTATTAGTTATCCTTAACTATTATTAGTTGTCCAGTCCCCCTGAATGCAGCAGTAAAATACAATGTAGACAGGTTTTGGTTTTTTTTTAAGATTTATTTATGCATACAAGAACTGGAATGCAGGCCAGAGGTGAGGTGGATGGGAGTGAGAGGAGTCACCAGAGTGAAAAGAGTGGGGAGTAGAACAGGTGAATCCACTGAAATACACTGCTGAGGGGAGCAGCGGGTGAGACAGGAGAGGTCTGTTGCTCCATGTGGGTTAGCTCCCTGGCCGGGTATCTAACTCATATTGCAGTGGCTGGCGATAGCTTGATAGTGCTGTGTCCTTAATCCCTGTGCCATCAGAGAGGCCCTAGACAAGTTTTTTTTAACAAAGTGTTGCCTGCTGCTTCCTTCCCAGTTATGTCAACATTTTTTGTTTATTAAATTGCCTATAAAGACTGCATTTTTTTCTGGCCTTCCTCTAATTCTCCTTGGTGCATATGTGGACAGGACTGAGCTGGTGCAGGAGTTGGCCACAGGGACCCATAAGTTGGGAAGTCTCTGTAGTTCTGGCTGGTTCTGCCATTGCTAGCCTCAGTGATACTGGGCAGGGACCTTTCCAGCCCTGTGGAGTGTTGCCACAGTCCCACCTCATGCAGAACTGACAGGAGGGTGGAATAGAAGGTGCTTGTAAAAAGCATATTGAAAAGGAGCCCAAATTATTAAGGGCCATCCTGTGCGTTCCTGGTCTATCCCAAGTTGATTACTTTGCGTGAATATTGGCTGTCTTCACTCATTTGCTATCTGACTCAATAAATATTTATTGACTACCCAACAAGACAACACATTAGGAATTTGGTAGGCATAATTGTGCAGAGCTTACTAAGACCAGCTTACTAAGACCAGCTTAGTGAGCTCCTGAGTTTGTGAGTGACTTAGTCTTATGAGAGAAATGAAGCCTGCATAAATAATTACCTGGCAGAATATGCGCTGTGGTCCATAGAAATGAGGTCCTGAAGAGAACGGAGGAGAGAGACATTAATTGCAGCTGTAGGGATCAGAAGTTGGAGTGGTATGTTGGAGTGGTAACTTTTGAGTGAGGCCTGGAAGGATAGGAAGAAGGCTGGGGAAGGCCATCTCAGGCAAAGGAAAGTTGTGAATAAAGGGAAGGAATACTGGAATTGTGCAGTGTGTTTGGGGAATGGTGACTAGTCTGGTTTCGCTGAAATACATAGTGTCTAAGAAGAAATAGAAGGCAATAGAATTGGAAGTTTTTGACATAATGCTTGGTGCTTAGAAGAAGCTCAATAAATACTCAGTAAGTGGAAGGAAGGGAAGAAAAGTCATGGCAAATTCTAGAGACCACAGGGCATTTTCGAGTAATTTTGAACTAGGAGGAAATATGTTCACAGCTGTGCTTCTGGAAGATCAGCTTGGTGCCATTTGTAATGTGAATTAGGTATTAGGGAAACTATTTGCAGTAGCCATTGCTTTGAAGCGTGAATAACAAGATAAGGATTCCATAAATAGAATCATCCAGACTCCCAACTTGGTGAAGTGGGTATGGATAACAAGTAAATAAAGATGTCCCACAACTGAGTGGGAGAAAATCTGGTGCCATTGACAGAAATAAAGATTTGGAAAGAAATGGGCACCCCTGGTAGTTCAAGGGATTAAGTTGCAGCACTATGAAGCTAGCCACTGTAGCATGAGTTCCGCAGCCACTGTAGCATGAGTTCGATCCCTGGCCAGAGGGGTGACCCACATGGCACAGCAGACCTCTCCTGCCTTACCCACTGCTCCCGTCAGTAGTATATTTCAGTCAGTCTGCCTGTTCTGCTCTCCACTCTGTCTCTGGTGAATCCTCTCATCACCCCCCCACACCTCTGGCCTGCACCCCAACTCTTATATGCATAAATGAATAAATCTTTAAAAAAAAAAAGATTTGGGAAGCACAAGCCCATCTCAGGGAGGTGGCAATAGGCAGTGAGATAAACATGGTGTGTCTGGGAGCCAGCCACCTTGCTTAGAATTCTGACTGAATTCTTAACTGTTCTTCATCTCTCTGTAGTTGTTTTGCATATGGTTTGCCTTCTTGGCTCCTTAGATGCTTTAGGAAGGGCCATGTCTGAAAAGATTTTTATGTTCTATTATAACAGTAGAAGGAATTTATGAATATTCATGTAACAGAAGAGTCAGTGGAACAGTTTCATCCCCATTATCCTTGTAATTAATGCACTAATGACAGAACTCTTGGGTACAAAAAAATAAAGGTGTGGGTTGTTCTGCTACCTGTGAGCAATAGACTGAACTGAATCTTTCCTGGATTATAGATATCAGTGTGGACCACCCTGATGAGAAGTCCATCATCACTTATGTGGTGACTTATTACCACTACTTCTCTAAGATGAAGGCCTTGGCTGTTGAAGGAAAACGAATTGGAAAGGTAAGTTCACTCTAGTTTTATAAGTCATGAGACGCAGTTATGGTTCATGTCTTAATGTACAGCCACTGAGCACCTTGTTCTCCCTCTAACTCATAAATTCAGCCACTAGAAGCTTGTGGTAGACTTCTTTACATGGTAGGGAAAAGTAAGCCTGTTTATCCTGAAGAGTATCAGGAGGTCAGAGGGCTTACCTAAGAAGGGATTTGAGGGAGATCTCAAACCAGAAACACACTCTCCTCATCTTACCAGAAAATTCTGTCATTGAAAGTCCAGCTGAGTTGGCTGGTGTCATGGGCATGAGTCCTACTTTTCCTAAGGTGAAAAGCCACAGTTAGGATGTCTTTATTTCTCACTTGACTGGCATTCACCTGCCCTGTTTTTTAAGACACTTCAGACCAGGTGACGTTATCTTGGGATGGGATCAACCAAAATGAAGCCCTTTCTTATTTATCTGGGAATTTTGGCATTTAGGCTGCAGGAGCCATTCAGCATCACAGACCCTGTACCTTGTGTCAGGAAGCTACAGAACTGTTATAGTTGAGTCAGGCTGTCATTGCTCGCTAATAATAGCCACAGAGTCTGAGTACCTGTTAATAAATGGTTCCTGAGTTTAGTGCCAAAGTTGAATAGAACTGTTTCAAAGCCAGTGCACTGAGTCTGCATTTAATCCCATATAGTTGCAGCCGTGTTTCCTTACATAGTGATATGATCTTGCTTTTCCATTTTTCTAACTGTTGTTCACAGGTGCTTGACAATGCTATTGAAACTGAAAAAATGATTGAAAAGTATGAATCACTTGCCTCTGACCTTCTGGAGTGGATTGAACAAACCATCATTATTTTGAACAATCGCAAATTTGCCAATTCACTGGTCGGGGTTCAACAACAACTTCAGGCATTCAACACTTACCGCACTGTGGAGAAACCACCCAAGTAAGACACCAGTTGAAATGCATTGCCATTAATATGCGGAGAGTGAGATCTACAGCCGCAGACCTGTTTTCTGATCTGTGTTATCTCCTCTCTCAGTGCCTCTCAGCAGTGACTTGTCTTGTTCCTATCATCTGATTGTGAGTGCTCAGATTTATTACAAATCATACCCTCTGTGATCTCTTTCCAGTACAAATGCTGGAATACGTGAAGTGCGTGATATGTGAGAATTCTAAGAAATGATACAAGTTTCATGTCCTTAACTAAACCTTTTGTGTCTAATATGTTTCTGAATTCCATAATTTTTTAGATTTTAGAAAATAGCACAGTACATATATATTAAAGACTCAAGGTAGGTGTAAGGCAATAACCCATAATCAAGCCCACTAATAAATCTGTCATGAAATACAGATACTCACATTATGGTGTATAAAGATAATAGTTTTATCAGTTCATTTCAGGTTTCACTGGCCCCCTATGTTTGACTTTTCACATCTTAAAATTCATAATTGCTGATTAAGGATTGTAGATCTTCTCTTTTGCTTATTATAGTTTGAAAGTCTTCGTTTTTTTCTGAAAACTCTATCCAATTATGAATTCCTTGCAAAGGCCTCTGAAACCCATTGAAAATGATGTTAGATAGTCATGTGGAATAGTCCTTGTTGAATACCTTCAGCTCTTGCTTTCTGAAGGAAGTAAGTCTTTAGTCCAAGACTTAAGGTCTAAACTTTGATTGAGATGATTAGCAGAAGACTAGTAGTATAAATCTCAGTAATAGAAACAGCCACAGAAATATTCCACAGTTGGGCATATTTTGAGGTCTGTGATTCTCAAAAACTAACCCACTGAGGTTTCTTTAACATTTATTTTACATAAATCAGACCAGAGATAAATGGCTTTTAAAATTGCTTGGCTGTGTGAATATTTTTTTTCCCTCTGAAGCAAATGAATTCTTCCCTTTCAAGGAATAAAATACAGTAAGTGATGTTTATGTCTGTTCTTCTCTGTGCTTAGATTTACAGAGAAGGGGAACTTGGAAGTGCTACTTTTCACTATCCAGAGCAAGATGAGGGCCAACAATCAAAAGGTCTACATGCCCCGGGAGGGGAAGCTCATCTCTGACATTAACAAGGTAAAGCCAATTCTTCTGGTCTCCCGTTTGGGCCTTTGACCTTTTCTAGGTCACTTCTCAATCACTGGGTCTTGGATGCTAAGAGGACAAGATACTGGAAAGGCCTATCCCTGCCTGCTAAGTGGATAAGTGGAAGCTGTTGCTCGGATGTTGGCAAAGGATCCAGTGAACTCTTCTGGTGGATCAGTCTATTGGAGGTTGGGTGGGATGCTAGATTTTATCAAACCAGCCCTGGTGCAGCCTGTTTAACCATGTTACTCTGATAAATGTTTAGTTTACCTTATCTGTCTGAGACAGTTGACTCAAGCAACTTTAAATTGCAGAAAAGAGCACTGGAAACCTTATTTTGTGTATCTGGAGCCCTAATCTCTAGAGGTTGAGCCTTAAGACTTTGGCTCCTTCCATCACAGAAGATATCAAACAATTTGTTAGCCTGTTATGTCTGAAATTACAGACTTTCACCTTAAGCTTTATTTCCAAGTAGAAATTTTATATATATACACATGTTGATTTTCACTGCTGCATACCAGATGTTAGGTTACTAAATACATAAATAGGGCCTCCCCAGTGATGCAACAGGTTGAGCACCACACTGTGAAGCTATCTGCAGCCTCTGCAGCATGGGTTCGATTCCCTGCCGGCCAGGGAGAAACACATGGCGCGGCAGACCTCTCCTGATCTGCCCGCTGCTCCTCTCAGCAGTGTCTTTGGTCCGTCTACCTGTTCTGCTCCCCCCCTCTGTCTCTTATGAATTCTTTCACCCTCCTGTACCTCTGACCTTACCCCAGTTCTTATATAAATAAATAAATCTTAAAAAAAAACAAATATTAATTGAAAAAATTTTTCAAAAATGTAGAACCGTTGGTCGGTTATACACATTTAGATTCATTTAAGTGGGTTTTTAAAAATATGAAGTAAGATTTAAATTCATAGAAATGAATTTAATGTGCATAGCCGATCTGGGTTTTGGGGAAAAACCTCAAAGAAAAGTAACTTTTTATGATCAGAGCTGTTGATGATAATTTATAATTTAGTTATATTGCTCCATGTCTGTCTATACTTCTGGGTTTTCCAAATACAACACAAGTTCTTCAGATGCAGATAGGGGAGCGTATTCCCATGAGACTAAACTGAGAGAGCACTTTTTTTCTCACAACATAAGAGTCAGTGGGATTTCCCTGAGTTATTGGGTCTTTTTGAGAAATACTAGCTGTTAACTGTTGCCAAGGTTGGTTCTTTGAACATGATAGGAAACTGCTTTTTCCCTTTTCTCTCTAGGCCTGGGAAAGACTGGAAAAAGCGGAACACGAAAGAGAACTGGCTCTGCGAAATGAGCTCATAAGACAGGAGAAACTGGAACAGCTTGCCCGCAGATTCGATCGCAAGGCAGCAATGAGAGAGACGTGGCTGAGCGAAAACCAGCGTCTGGTGTCTCAGGTTCTGCTCAACACATTGTTAGAGAAGCTGCCCCTGGGTGATCTAGAAGTGTAGACCATGCACAGGGACCACAGGCCAGCTGCTGGTCAGCATCCAGTGTTCTGAAACATGCTGTCAACTTGTCATGCCTACTTCCCATGAGGAGGATGTTTATCATATCTAATAAACTTTCTCTTCTACTTATCTAACTTTTCATAAATTTGGAAACAGCTCAAGCAAAGTTTGTTTAGAGACAATGCGTGTATGTCATGAACCACTCACATTTATATAATTTAAAAAAAAATTTCCTCTTTCCCTCAATCTTTGACCAACTAATTCTTCAAGACAGATGAGTGGTCTTGAAAGAAAGAAAAGTGACTTTTCGCTACTTGGCTTAGCATGAACTGTCAGCTGGTCCTATGTCAGGTGCTAGGTAGGAGCTGAACCCCTCTGTAAAATGAAAAGTAGCTGAGTTGCCTTGGGAAAGGCAGGCATACTGAAGCACATGATTCTAAGCATCCTATCGAGGGCCAGACCAGCAAGGGTGTGGTCCCAGAGTTTGTGTTTGGCTTTGTACACCAAAAATTAAGGTGTGTGCACAGGTGTCCACCTCCGTTCTCTGTTTCTTACTTCCTATTGGATGGCTCTTTTATTTTGTTTTTATTCCACCTCTCTGTAGGACAACTTTGGGTTTGACCTTCCTGCAGTCGAGGCTGCCACGAAAAAGCATGAGGCCATTGAGACAGACATTGCTGCCTACGAGGAGCGTGTGCAGGCTGTGGTAGCCGTGGCCAGGGAGCTCGAGGCTGAGAACTACCATGACATCAAGCGCATCACAGCGAGGAAGGATAATGTCATTCGGCTCTGGGAATACCTGCTGGAACTGCTCAGGGCCCGGAGGCAGCGTCTGGAGATGAACCTGGGACTGCAGAAGATATTCCAGGAAATGCTTTACATTATGGACTGGATGGATGAAATGAAGGTAAATTGAAAGGAGGTCAGAACCGATCCATCAGACCTTTTCTGAGACACAACTGCTCACTTCTCATCATGCAGGTGTATCCCCTGTCTAACTGTGGACTCTGTAAAGCCAGAGAAGGGATATGTTACCCATGGGAAGATTGCTAACACATGCGTTAAAGGAGTTTGTGAAGTGGGAGAGTTAGCTAATGAACTTTCTGTAGCTGGAGCTCTAACTTAGATACAATACACTGTAGAGAATCAAATTGTGGTTTTCTGTATTTTTAATTCTTTAGAATTGAACTTGCTTCCCATTTCATTGATTTCTGTGCAAATGGCTCTAGTTTGGGGAGGACTAAGTGCAAAAACGTGCACATAGCATAGGATAAGGACTGCTTGGAAATGGCTGCCATTACTGATTTGTGCTTCTTCCCCTTCTGTTACTGACAGCTGAGCACAGAGTTTCAGGCTTTCCCCTCACCCAGAGAGAGCCTGCCACTGTGCCAAGGTTTGGGCATGTTCATGCTCTGTGATGCAGGCACTGGGAAGCTCATCCATGACAAGTAGCTCCCCACCTGGAAGGCATTTGGCCTCATAGCAATGACAAAGCCACCCCAATTTGCAGGCAGCGCTGTGAAGCCTCTTTCATCTTGGTACCCATGTATTCACAAGCCTGACCATGCAGAGGATTTCCCTCCTGGGTTGTAAGCCCTTGTCTTCTGCTCCCCTCTGAACTGTTTGTGGCAGAGGGGCAAGGTCATGTGATAGTATGAATTTTTCCTCTTAATGGCCCAGGTTTATGATATTCTCAGGTATGGTCTATCTTGACCTCTTAAAATCTAGCAAAGGATCTAGCTTTGGATTTTATAAATCATGCACATTGTAATTCAGGTTGAGCCGTACACATCCTCAGAAGTAATTGTGAAATAGAAATTCCATCTGGAGAGAATGTGGGAAGAGGTCTCCAAAACTGACTAATGGAAGAAAGAAAAGAAAATGTTAGTGGAATCTAACTTTAAACCAAAGACATTTCCTGGAGCTCACAAAACATGACAGCTAGCTGACCCTGCTCCCTTATTGGTTGAAGCTATAGGTTGTAAGCTTTTCAGTTAGATTCTTCTGCCCTTGACTGTGTCAGTATTGCAGAGGTGTGTCAATAGCTGTGAGCTTAGGAAAGCATCTGTGTAAGGGACTAGCAGCTTCTAGGAGTCTGTGTTTTGCCATGAAATGAATTGATTGCCTTCATCAGCAGTTGTTGGTGCGGCAGTTTCCTTGTGGAGCTGCAGTTTACATTGGGCTGGGAACTCCATGTTCAGGGCTGTCAGAAGAGGAAGAAGCACAAATCGGCACTGGCAGCCGTTTCCGACCAGTCCCATCCTATGATACGTGCATGTATTATTGTTCCCCTCCCTCCCTTTTTCCTTATCTTTCTTTACTTTTTTCCCTGTTCTGTATTTGTTAGTGTAGTTTGGGCTTGCTTATCCCCAGATAGATGATTCTTAGTTTAGTATCTCTCTCCTGATGCAAGCTTTCAGGCTTGTTGCACTCTGATTTGCTCTTCATTGTTTCCCTTTAGATAGGGGAAGACTGGCCAAAGGTGGGTGCAGGTTGGCTGCTATCTCTCAGCTTGTCCAGAGATCCTGAGCCACTAGAGTCAGGGTCATATTTACAGATGTCCTCTCTGTTGCCCCCTGTGCACAGGTGCTACTACTGTCTCAGGACTACGGCAAACACTTGCTGGGCGTGGAAGACCTGCTACAGAAGCATGCCCTTGTTGAAGCCGACATTGGCATCCAGGCAGAGCGCGTGAGAGGTGTCAATGCCTCCGCCCAGAAATTTGCAACAGACGGGGAAGGTGAGACTGGACTACCCCAGGCATTACCTCTAGCCACCAGAGATGCATCTTACTGAAGTTGCTGAGTGTGTGTGCCAGGGGGCTTTAGAAGTGACTGCGCCATTGTAGGTTCCCAGCAGTTTGTCTGCTGCCATGACAGGGATACAGCAGATTCCATGTAGTTGCCTGCTGGGCATTTTTAACTGTTGTGTAACTCTTAAGTGAACATGTCTTTGCCTCAAATACTGCGATGTTTTTTGGTTTTGAGGGATTTGATTTGCCAGACCACACCCAACGGACCACATACCATCAGCCTGGCATGCTGCTCAAGCATCTCATGCCTTGCACACCTGTCTGTATCTCTGTTGAAAGGATGTTTGGAAAGATGTGGTTTGTAGCTTATATTTTAGATACATTTATATGCAGCTGCCTCCTTTCATATGAATTATGTGTTTCTTGGTTCATAAGTGATCACCTGTGCTAAGGGCAAAAAAAAAAAAGTTCTTATGATTGCCCTTCTCTTCCAGTCAGGATCCTAGATGGTGCTGTGTTGCCTCTTAATGTGGTCCTCACTTAGAACTGAACTGGCAACCCAGCAGGAAGAACGTGGGGTATAGTTTACTGCCGGCAGAGGAGCCAGAGCCTGTGCTAAATTATCATACACCCACGTTCTTTCCTTGGTACTAAACAGGTTACAAGCCCTGCGACCCCCAGGTGATCCGAGACCGCGTGGCCCACATGGAGTTCTGCTACCAAGAACTCTGCCAGCTGGCAGCTGAGCGCCGGGCCCGTCTGGAAGAGTCCCGTCGTCTCTGGAAGTTCTTCTGGGAGATGGCAGAAGAAGAAGGCTGGATACGGGAGAAGGAGAAGATCCTCTCCTCTGACGATTATGGGAAAGACCTCACCAGTGTCATACGCCTGCTCAGCAAGCACCGAGCATTTGAGGATGAGATGAGTGGCCGCAGCAGTCACTTTGAGCAGGCCATAAAAGAAGGTGAAGACATGATTGCAGAGGACCACTTCGGGTCAGAGAAAATCCGAGAGAGGATTATTTACATCCGGGAGCAGTGGGCCAACCTAGAGCAGCTCTCGGCCATCCGGAAAAAACGCCTGGAGGAAGCCTCACTGTTGCACCAGTTCCAGGCGGATGCTGATGACATCGATGCTTGGATGCTGGACATCCTCAAGATTGTCTCCAGCAACGACGTGGGCCATGACGAGTACTCCACACAGTCCCTAGTCAAGAAACACAAGGACGTGGCGGAGGAGATCGCCAACTATAGGCCCACTATCGACACTCTGCACGAGCAAGCCAGTGCCCTCCCCCAGGAACACGCAGAGTCTCCAGAAGTGAGGGGCAGGCTCTCGGGCATCGAGGAGCGGTACAAGGAGGTGGCAGAGCTGACGCGGTTGAGGAAGCAGGCGCTGCAGGATACCCTGGCCCTGTACAAGATGTTCAGTGAGGCTGATGCCTGTGAGCTCTGGATTGATGAGAAGGAGCAGTGGCTCAACAACATGCAGATCCCAGAGAAGCTGGAGGACCTGGAGGTCATCCAGCACAGGTGAGCAAGGATAGTGCTGGGGATGCCGGCCCACCCTGCTTTATCTCTAGAGACCAAAGAGGTGACAACACTGTGGAATTGCCTTTTCAGATTTGAGAGCCTGGAACCCGAAATGAACAACCAAGCTTCCCGGGTGGCAGTGGTGAATCAGATTGCGCGACAGCTCATGCACAGCGGCCACCCGAGTGAGAAGGAAATCAAAGCCCAGCAGGACAAACTCAACACGAGGTATGCATGAGACCGGCAGTGTGCTGGCTCCCTGTGTGTGGGGCCTGTGGGGATGAGGTCACTTATGAGCCTTGCTGTCAGGAATTTCCTGCATGGGGTCACTGGCACCATGGTGCTGATGTCATGGCATTGGCATCTGCCTTGCGCCATACCCTGGTTTTGTAAGAAGTGTCTCAGGTGACATCATTTGGGGCAGCCTGGCACCTTCCCCTCCCCACATCAGAAGGCAGGGCCTTGTAATTCTTGTGCCCACTGTAGTGGATCCTGGTGACATCAGGGTGGCACCTGTGCTGTGTGTCCCTATTTTAATAATTTCTGGAACAGAATTTTAACGTGTTTGAGACAGTTGGCCAATGGAAGTTTTGATTACCAGGGCAGACCTTTGTCCCAGTCTTATCTTTCTGTTGAGTAAACACTTGAGTAGGCAGTGGTAGCAAGCTGGCTGCAGTTCTAAAGGTTACTGTCAGTCTTTGAATTTGGAAAATGATCATTAGGTGCAGTTCAGAGATGAGTAAGAAGTGTATGGCAGGCATGAATTACTGGATTCATGGGGGGATGGGGGGAGGATTGTATTGTCACAACTCATGGTGGAGCTATTTAACAAGTCCCTTTCCGTGTCTGGCTTTTTCCAGATTGTATTGTATCCCTGAGCTGTTTTAATGATATTTGGTATCCACATACAGACTGTGATTTTCCAAAAAGTGTGCAGTGAAAACAAAAGTGGAAGGGGGTAATGGCAGCTTTGACTGTCACTATTAATTCCATGAACTAGCCTCTTCTTCACCCTGCTCTCTCAATTGCCCCTGCACTTACAGGTGGAGTCAGTTCAGAGAACTGGTCGACCGAAAGAAGGATGCCCTTCTCTCTGCTCTGAGCATCCAGAACTACCACCTCGAGTGTAATGAAACCAAATCCTGGATTCGAGAAAAGACCAAGGTGATTGAATCCACACAGGACCTGGGCAATGACCTGGCTGGTGTTATGGCCCTGCAGCGCAAACTGACCGGCATGGAGCGGGACTTGGTGGCCATCGAGGCAAAGTTGAGCGATCTGCAGAAGGAGGCAGAGAAGCTCGAGTCCGAGCACCCTGACCAGGCTCAGGCCATCCTGTCTCGGCTGGCTGAGATTAGCGACGTTTGGGAAGAGATGAAGACCACCCTGAAGAACCGTGAGGCCTCTCTGGGGGAGGCCAGCAAGCTGCAGCAGTTCCTGCGGGACCTGGACGACTTCCAGTCCTGGCTCTCTAGGACCCAGACGGCCATTGCCTCTGAAGACATGCCTAACACCCTAACCGAGGCAGAGAAGCTGCTCACTCAGCACGAGAACATCAAAAATGAGATTGACAACTACGAGGAGGACTACCAGAAGATGAGGGATATGGGTGAGATGGTCACCCAGGGACAGACCGACGCCCAATACATGTTTCTGCGACAGCGGCTACAGGCCTTGGACACTGGATGGAACGAGCTACACAAAATGTGGGAGAACAGGCAAAATCTCCTCTCCCAGTCCCATGCCTACCAGCAGTTCCTTCGGGATACCAAGCAAGCCGAAGCCTTTCTTAACAACCAGGTAATCTTCGGCGTTCATTCCTGTTAAAGCAGGCCCTGGTCACCTTCTCAGACATTCTGACCAAGGGCTGCTGGTTTAAGCCCTACCTGTATGAAATTAGGATAACTTGAACCCCTGATTTATAAGGGATTGAACTCAACACAATCCAGGGAACATAAATGAAGATTTCTCAGACGCTCTCCTACTTCTCAAATTACAGCTCTATTTCAACTACTGTGGAGGATTTCTTACATTTCTAACGTGTCCTCATAGTAGCAATAAAGTTGGCAGTATTCTGTGAGATGGTGATCCAGTCCGTGAGGATGGAGGGTTAACAGTTTGTTTTGATTAATGGCGCTGTCTTCCTTGCTCTGAAAGAATCACCTAATGACACTAGGCTGAAGTTAGAGAAACAAAAATAGTAAAGAATGGTCACCAACCCAGGGTTGTTAATCTGTCTCAAAGGAATTTGAAGGGTATGTTGTTGCTGACTTCTTGGGCATGTGAAAGGACCCTTATGGCTGATTCACCAAGCTTTACTTTCATCACATTATTTTGGGGAAAAATTTAGAGCATTTGACTACTTAGGAAAGCAAGTGTCTTCATTATTCTCACTGAGTCCAATTTCACAAAGTCTCATCCTGTTGAATTTTTCCCTCTTTTCAACAAGGAGTATGTTTTGGCCCATACTGAAATGCCCACCACCTTGGAAGGTGCCGAAGCGGCTATTAAAAAACAGGAGGATTTCATGACCACCATGGATGCCAATGAGGAGAAGATCAATGCTGTTGTGGAGACTGGCCGGAGACTGGTGAGTGATGGAAACATCAACTCGGATCGCATCCAGGAAAAAGTGGACTCCATTGATGACAGGTATGGTGGTGTGAAGGGAACAGTGCACTCTGGGATTCTGAAGCATCTCAATCATTGGCAGAGTCCTTGGGACTCTGCTCAGGATTATGGGGTGGGACACAGCCACTAGGGAAATTGAATCTATCCATCACAGTTAATCAGTGAGCAGCGAGCACATGGCCACCTGAGAAACGTGAATCTTCTTGTAAGACACGTACAAATATCCACAAAAGAAAGCCTGAGGAACCAAACTGATCCTCCACCAAAAACTTAAAAGGATTACAATGCTGAGTAGCAGTGAGATATTGCCATGTCCTTAAAGAGTTAACACACATCATGTCACCCAGTGGGACCCTGAAACCCAAGCCTACATTCACCTTCATCCACATAGACTCCTCTGAAGCCTGTCAGGAGGGAGTGAGGAGGAGAGGCTGGTGTGTGTGTGTTCTGAATATCTGTCAGAGGCACAAAGGACCATTATCAGGCCTTTCTTAGAAAATTGGCTTGGATAATACTATAAGATCTTCTTCATGATGAAAGAAAAGGCCCTTTTGCTCTTCTGCCAAGGCATCTCCAAGATTGGATGCGCCTATTATTTATTTATATATTATTTATTGATTGATTTGCAGTTCTGGAAGATTTTTCTCCCTGGTTGAAGGTCACTGTACTGTTTGACCCTCACCCCTCATCCTCCTCCTGCCTTAATTATTACTAAGGTGGGAAGTCAGGGCAACTCCAGGTTAGCATGCACAAGAGTAGGCCAGCCATTGCTGTCTAGGTCTGACCGTTGTGGGTCAGTTATTAGCCTCCTGGTCCAACCAATCTCTGGCCCCAGTTTGTGTTGAATTTAAGGTTTTATTGTAAGACTGAAGCCATCAATAAATGAGCTCTTCCTCAAGACTTCTCCTCTGACCTCCTAGTGCAAGGAGAGGCAAGAATCTGCAGAGACCATTTCCTTGCTTACCATATCTGAGAATGTCTCTTGAGTCCTAGGACCTTGTTGTAGATTAATTTTTTGTGCGTGGAATAGAAGGGGAAATTACTCTTTTCCCCATAAAGATTCAGCTCCTGGCACTAGTACTTCTGATCTGTCTTTTGCACTGATTCAGAGCCTAAACAATATGTTCTAAAGGTGATACTGTGGAATAGGACATAATTTATATTAATGATATTTTCGTGTCTGTTATTCCTGAAGCAACTACAAAATACACTCAAAAAAACCTTCACTGAATCCTTAAATGAATATACGAAACAAGGATCAGGCAAGGCATTCTCAAAGTAAAGAAATAGACCTTATTTTTTTAATATTAAAGCTCTCATTGTTTTGTAAGTACAGTGCCCCACACTCCCCTGTGTTAGACACACACATAATGGGTTCCTGAAGGCAGGCCTTCCTGTTATGGACATGCGCGCTCAGGCAGGCGTGCAACCGCCTGGCAGCTCCCTCCGTGTATTCACAGGTCCCTTGTTGCTGCAGCTGTGCAGGGCTGTTGGAAGCAGGTGATGTTGTCAAGACCGAGACTCCTGAATATGAGGGAGCGTTTCAGCAGCCCTCAGTTGTAGCTTAGCCTTCCTTTTGCCTTTAACTATAGTTCCAGAGGTCTTTAAGATTTGTCTGATTTTAGAAGAGATAGAAAAAGGTTCCTATACTACTGGTAACTGTAAGGTGGAATCAGGAGGGTGCTTTCCAGTGATCTGCCCGCGGGCTTTCTTACATTCCTCTCTGGTGGTAATAATTCTGGTTTCATTTCAATATCCCTGGGGCCCCTAAGTATGAAACAGACCCTGCCCCCCAAGAGGATATGAGACGGTTATAGAAATAACACATCTGAGTTCCAAGCATTGTAGGGAGATAAGCTAAGTACATATCAAAACCTGCAAGATCTAATCCCATCCAGAAAATTTCTGGTGGGTTTGTAAAGCTATTCTCATGGAATGCAAAATTGTTATAATGTACTGACATCCTGGAAATCTTGTCAGTCACCTCTGAGTTTGTAGAAATGAAAGTACACTAAAACAAAGACTCTCAGAAGATGTGGGTAGAGATCAAACGACCTTTAAAGTGCTTGTGACTGGGTGGAAAGGAGCCTGCTGTCCAAGCCAGCCCCCAGGGAAGTGTTGAGCTTCCTGGCTTAAAGGAAAATTCCAGCCACCACACAGTCTTGGGAGAGAAAGGAACACTCTCCAACATCATAAAGACAGACTTGATCCTTTCTTATATGGGGGATGAGCTTAAAAATTACCAACCTGTTTTACTCAGGTTCCTTACTTTTCACCAGAACCAGAGTTAAACTCAGCATCTGCTCCATGTGATGAGGGAGCTTTGAGTTTTATTATAGGAGAGATGAGAGGTGGAAATAAAGCAAGGGATATAGCCTTGCAATTAACAGGAAACACTGGGTAGCTATGGGAAGCTATTAAAATTAAATCTGTGCGCCTCCCCTGGTGGCGCAGCAGTTGAGCGCTGGGCTGTGAGGCTGCCCGCAGCCTCTGCAGTGCCGGTTTGTTCCCCGGCCTCTGGCAAGGATCCCACAAAAAAAAAAAAATTAAATCTGTGACCCTGCCTTAAAATTTTTTGAGTTTTACTTCCCATGAATGATACTGGTTGCCAGTAGTAAACAGTTAAACCACATTAGCTTCTCTCGAGGGTTTTCTGAGTCAACAGTAGTCTCAGATGCCTAATAGCAGTTTTTACTTGCGAGCACATCCTTCAGGGGCCATTGTCATGCCCTCTCTTAGGTCTGTGTCCTTTAGACATGAAGCCCTTGACCTTTCTCTTCCTCTTGGTCCCACTATAAGAAGAAGATTCCCAGGACACAAAAATTAGCTGGGCATGCACAAGACTCGAATATATAAGATCTGTGTTCAAGACTGCCTAGTTTTATTTCTTGCATAGTAAATCTTCTCAGAGTTTGACATTTCATCTCAGTTATTCCCATCATTTCAGGGAAGTTTTTATCACTTAGTTTTATCACTTAGGCGAGTTTCAAGCACGCCTGTTGTAACTGCCATTGTCTTTGTCTCTCCCTTAGCACTGTTACCTCCTTCATGAGAAGGAAATGTGGTCTTTTATTCAAGTTTTATTTAAGGACTTTGAGTAAAGACAGGGCTCTTTTATTTTGTGACTAAATGTCAACTCAAATGACTTCCATTGCAGAGGACTTTAAAAACTCTTTACAAATAGTAGTTGGAATTAGAAGGTAGGGGACTTGAAGAAATTTTCTTTACATTTTTCCCCACCAGTGTTTTTAAATGATTAATTCCTTTAGCCAAAATTCAGTTAACAGATTAAAAAAAAAATCTGGAGTCTGAGGAAAGATAACAATGAAGTAAAGAAACTTTGGCCTTTATTATTTTGTTGTTGTTATACAAGCAACAGAATGTGTAAATGGCACCTTTACTCTTACCCCTAGCACATGCCATTGTAGTTTTGTCTTTCTAATCTATATATACCTTGGGAGTATCGAATCGTGGATAAGCTCTTACCATTGAACAATATAGAAATACTTTCCTATTTTTGCATTTTGACTAAGTGATAAAAACTTTCCTGAAACTAGGGAACACCTTTCAACTACAAAATGTTTAAGTCTTTGTATGTATCTAATATATACCTGACAGTGTTATTCCTGTTTTGTAGTCACTGGTATCTGTAGGGGCAGAGTTTTCTGGGCAGACAAGAGCTGCCATTGTCACTCATTTTGCCCCAACTCACTAAGACCCATGTGACACACAGCATCACAGTAAGATCATTATTACTCCTGAGGAGGGTTCCTGAAAGGTCAGTTAGCAGCAGGTGCCTTACTGAATTGCATTCTTGGCACTTTGAATCAGAGTTGTGTTCTTCCTCGCCCCTGCCATAGACTCTAGCAGGATGGTACATGAGACTTTGCCTAGGCATGTGCAGTAAGAAATTGCTTTGAGAAGCAGAATAAAACCCCAGAGTGCCTCATTTGCACTCTGTTCCTTTACCCCTCATAACACCTTGCACTTTGGCTGGCTGCCTGGCTTTGGTTGCTCTAGAATATTGGGAAAGCCATACTATGGCAGTGCTGCTTGATTCTCGGGGACATAGCTCTCCTCCATTATAGTGACCCATGTAGATAAAGGCCTTCACACTCACAGTAGTTAAAGCTCTCACATGGCTATTTTTCATAGACTCTGGTGGAGACCATAAGCCATTGGGGATGTGGAGCTTCCAGTGAGTTCTGACACCGCCGGTGTGAGCCAAGAAACCCTATGTACAGCATTGCAGCTGGTACACAAACACCCTGCTCCTTCCACTTCATTCACCAAGTTTAGCAGTTTTATGCTAACCTTCTTTAAACCTTGTTTACCCTTATCTATTAATATAAAGTAAGATTGAATAGGTACATAGTCTCATAGGTCAAAAATAGTTCTTTCTTGGCTTATTATTGTTTAGGTGAATTTTTCTCAAAGTGGCAATCTGTTTACCAGGAATCATTCATTTAAAGCTGTTTATGTGCTTACATATTTCTTAGCCAGGTACATGTCCAATCACCCAGTTAAGAGTTTCTTGAAAGTAAGTTTCAAATTTCTCCACAGTGCCAAAGATGGGGACTTGCACACAGTATGTGCTCAAATGTTTTTCCCCCTTGCAGAAGATTAGGAAGCAATGACTACATCCTTGGCCTACTCTGTGGTTTAGACGGGTATTTTGGTCTCTTTTGAATGACTTACTCATTTGGAACATGCACAACTCTCGTTTCCTTGACATAACTGAGAACTGTAAGCAAACTGTTTGCAACATATATATAGAAACCCAGGCAAAAAATTGAATTATAAATTCTGCATTTCAGCAGTCTCTACTTCCTTTTTAAAAATTATTTTTATTATTGTTACAACAGACATAGGAAGAATCGTGAGGCAGCCAGTGAGCTGCTGATGAGATTGAAGGACAACAGGGATCTTCAGAAATTCCTGCAAGATTGTCAGGAGGTATGTCTTGTTTTTAACCCCACCCTTTCTGATTGCTAACAGCAGCCAGCAAGTATTTGGCAGAAGTGTACCTAGAGCTAGAAAACTAATTGAGGTCTGAAATTTGGATCATTTGTAATTTGCAATTGAGGCAGTATGGCACCTTACCAGTTTCCCAGCCTGCAAGCTGCCACTGAAGAGTAAAGAGGTGATCATAACCCAGAATGTTATAACCTAGAATAGTGCTGTCTGCTATAGTAGACATTAGCCACATGTGACTATTTCATTTAAATTAAATAAGAGTGTAGTTCCTCTGTTGAACAGTTGTATTTTCACTGCTCAGTAGGCAACTGTGATCAGTGGCTGCTGTATAGACAACAAAGAGATAGAATGTTTCCATCATGTATAAAGTTCTATTGGACAGCAATATCCTCAGATATTCCATAACCTACTTAAACTATTTAAAACATTTAATGGCATGGAAGGAAAGAACAAAAAGAAACTGGAACTGTCTACTGCAGGTAAGAAGCAGGCATTTAATACTGCAAACTGAATTTCTTATTCACTCATGACTTTAAAATAGCCATCTTTCAGACTCCATAGGTATGTATCTAACATGCCAAGAGCGTTACTCCTTATTTAAAACTCCCAAGTTTTAACATGTGGTATTAATCTGATGATTCTCCTCCTATCTCATGCTCCCCTGATACTTGTATAAACAAACTTGCAAAACTAAAGTTGACCAGAAAAAAATGGAGTTTCTGCAAACGAGTTGGGGGAAAAAAAAAAAATTTAACTGACTTCTCATGTGAGTTCACAAGCACTTCATATTTCTCTGTATACCAAACAATGGTGAGACTTATTCCTCTCTGGTTTATTAGACTAAGTCTCTTCAGAGGCAAGAATGGGATAAAGAGTATTCACGTGAAACAACAGGGCTCTTGGAGGGGTGAGGAGTGGGGGCAATGGGGACGAGAACAAGTCATGTGCTAAAGAATACAACTTAGGCCATCACTGACACCTTGCATGTAAATGTGTGGCTGTGTTAAAAGAAATAGGACTTTACTAACAGTTGTGTTAGATTGTGACGGAAGCTGTCCTTCAAAGTCCAGAAACTGCTGTCTTACTATGAATCTTGAAGAATGCTCCAACAGCTAAAACCTGAGAAGGAATATCACTAAACTGTGTGGGCTTTTAGCAGCACATTGATGAATCTGGGACTCAGGGCTTTGCCTGGAGCCAGATAACCTAAGATGGCAGTGCCTCATCGCAGTGTTAATAACCCATTGAATAGGATGCTCACTTAAAGAGGCATTCATGTCCCTGGAGACAGGGCATAAAGGAAAGTAATGGAATCTAAAGATAGCTGTGTAGAGTTGCATATTGTACTACAGTGAATACCAAGTGGCCCCTTAGCATTTGAGAGTTAACTATAAATGAGTCTGAACTGTAAATGAATCAAGAGACATTTGCAGACTTCACTGTGGCTTCCACAGATTGGCAGTCCAGATATTACTTTGATGTTTACCTTGAAGTACCATCAATGGCTTGTTTTAACTTCAGGCTAGTGTTTCAATTTTTTGTTGTTATTGTTTGTTTGTTTTTTTGCGGGTGCAGGGGAGGGAATTCATTGGGTTTCCATACTCTTGTTGAAAGGACATGATAATGAAATAAAATTCATCTACCAGACTGTGGTAAAACCTAGGCTAAATTTGAGAAAATAATGCCTAAGACCAGGAAATGGGGGAGGACCATCTAGAGAAACCCAGATGAAATTTTCAGCATACAATTTTTCATTTACATAAGTTTTGATTCATAGATACATGTAGAAAAAATAAGTAGATAAAACAGTAGTCCTTCCCAACAGAGTCACAGGAAATACTGAGTCTTGATAGATCTTTATGTCTTTATTAATGGCTTGTTCCAAATTAGTATCTTTAGTAACAAGGGGTTCACTCCTTAATAACAGACCAGAATATTAGACATGCCCAGAGGACTGGATCCTATGTGATTTCGCTTCCAAGCACTAAGACAGGTTTTGGGTGGTGGGAGATCTGTGAGACTTCTTGTGACTGTATGCCAAACCTCCCTGGCTTATCCTTTCTTTCCAGAGCCTCATTAAAAGATAGTACAGCTCCATTATCTGTGGATGGTGATGGTTGTCCTACATCCATGTGTAGTTGGCACATTTGGTAATGATAGAATTTAGTTCAGGTTTGGAGACTTCAAAGTTATATCTTTGACTGTAAACATTCTCATTGTACAGCCTCATTAAAAATGTGCCCCCTTTTACAGCCATAATCTGTTAAGAATGGAGTTTGTGTATGGACCAACTCTACATTGAGATATAAATAAATCTACTTACTATGCTAATAGATACTTAAGGAGCATCCAGAGGTCAGATTTAATACCATTATTGGCTGCTGATAGTGTTCAAGGTCTAGGAAAGGCAAGGATTTGTCTGTTTGTCACACTCCCTTCCTCATGGGTGCCTTGCTACAGGAGGCATGCATTATGAAATCTTCTGTTGTTGCCACCCTCACCCTTAGAGATACTCTTAGTTGAGGATAACTATTGCAACAACAGTAGTGGGAATGAGCAGAAACCCATCTATTTATTCCCAGTTATAGAAGGAATACTTTAAAGAGCTCCATAATTTTCATCGTGTTAATGTGATATCCTGATACGTGAGTGATTTAAGAAGTACTGCTTTTCCTTTTTACTTCCTCACACTCTACCTCCTGTTTTCTGAAATGAAATTCTTCCAGGAGAGCAGTATAACTAGACATGTGTGGCATAGCAATGGTGATTTCAGTGCTTTGCTTTAGCTGAATTCAATTATCAAAGCATTTTTCCTATCCAGTTCCAATCTGCATTGTGTTCTTTTTTGCAGAAAATGAGTATATTCTTAAATGACCTTTGAAAATCTGTACAGATTACAACTGTAGCTCTTGATTCCAGAATGCCTGTGAAGGCCTGTTGATCTAGCAAGTTCCATAGATCCATTTCATTGTGTTTTATAGCATGGTGCTTTTTCTGTGGGTTGATGTGTTCAGCAAAAAGCAGTTTTGTTTATAAGCCTGATATTTTTTTCTTCTAACCTCTTTTAGGTGGGTGGTTATGAATAGCAAAAAATTGTGAACGTCCTCGGCACTTTAGATTAATGCCTTCTGTTGTATTAGATTAATGCCTTCTGTTGTATTTGATGTTTGTGTGTGTGTGAGAGAGAGAGAGCGCATTGTCTTCTGTTGTATTTGGGGTGTGTTTGTAGAAATATTGGAGAAAGTTTACCATTTGGTTTCCTTTTAAATTCATTTCTCAGATTGAGTAAAAGGTTGTAGCATTTCAGATTTTAGCTACTTGGAAGACGAAAATAGGTGATTCTTTTAAAGTAGGAAATTAATTTAGCATTTCCGTTGTATAATAAATCTGTGATCAAAGAAACTTTTTGAAATTGACTGGATTTTCTCCTCAAGAAAAAGGGCGATCAAAGACCTCGCTGCCTTTCGCTTTCTATCCTTGGTCCCTCTGACGTGATGGGTGAATAGCCTAAGAATGGTAGAAACGTTGCTTGGAAGGTCTTCACCCATGTCTGAGCTGGGGTGCTCCAGTGACCCCTACCCTGCTTGATATAATTTCCAAAGACAGATTTTCTATTGTTTAAGCAAATGTATGGAGAATCCTTTCCCAGGAGCAGCCCAGAGCGCAAGTGACTAGCCTGGGCAATGTTGATTCTATAGGGTGTCTTATCAGCTTTATATGTGATACCTAAACCTTTGGAAATAGTACCATATGAAATTAAGGTGCACATTTGTTGTGGCAGTGAATGGCATAAAAGCAGGCTCGTTATTGTCATGCAGAAGGAGGCACTAGGGTCCTTTAAAGTGTTTGCTTCTGACTCTGTATATTCTGCTTGGGAAGACGAAAGACTCTTCCTGGGTTAGTACTGCCGGGTGGGAATTAGGACCCTGGTAGAACCAATGAAAGGCAATTAGTAAGGAGCAAGGCAACCTGGGATAAAAGCCAGCAAGAGAAGTGTGTCCAGAGCCTGGGGTTGGGCTGATTCCCAGCTCAAGCTTCATAGGAGAACTCCCTTCTCAGATCTGTCGGCAGCTGGCAGGCTTTATGAGGTTTTCCAGAGGTTGAATCTAAGCAGACATGTTGGGTCTCACAATCAAGTCCTGTGCAGTGTTTTGGTCTGAATTGGATGCCCTTTGGGGAAACAGACTCTAGAAAAAGAGGCAAAGTTGACTCAAAATTGAAGGAACCATGAGAAGGCATCATTGTTGCCTTAACTCCCACCACCAGCAAGTTATTTATGTCTTTCAGTATTCCCAGAGAGGCACCCCAGGAGGGAATAAAAAACTAGAGTTTCTTTCTTTCTTTTTAAAGATTTTATTTTTGCGTAGAAGAATTGTGGTATAGGCCAGAGGTGGGGGGTGAGGGTGTGTGTGAGAGGATGCACCAGAGACAGAGTGGGGAGCAGAACTGAAATACACTGCTGAGGGGAGCAGTGGGTGAGGCAGGAGAGATCTGCTGTGCCATGTGGGTCAGCTCCCTGGCGGGGTATCGAACTCAGGCAATAGTGGTGGGCCGTCGGTGCAGTGCTGAGACCTAACCCCTAGGCAACCAGGTATGCCCCCCTTCTTTTGTTTTTAATAATAGAGCTAAAACAGTGAAAAGATTACCAAGAGAGTGAATGACAGTAATCATGATTAACATGGTATAGCTAGCACAGGTATTTTTTTTTTTTAATTTTTTACATCATTGTTCATTTTTAAACAATATTAGCACAGGTATTTAAAAGAGAAAAAAGGGTTGTGACTTGGACTGATTAGGACAGACTTTTAAACAAGCCTTTGAGAGGAAAGCTGGTTAAGAGTACCAGATGGTTAGGACTAGCTCAGAGAGCTTTTGTACTTCTGGATCTAGTGTTAGAGACCAGGTTTGAAGTACAGTTGAGACAGCCTCCCTACAATTGGAGATACCTGTCAGGACAGGTCAGAGTTGTAAATATTTGGTTGTCTGTTGACGTGGAAACATGCATTATGCATAGTATGTCATAACACGATATTTGTTTATTATTATTTTTTGCCTAGCTTTCTCTCTGGATCAATGAAAAGATGCTTACAGCCCAGGACATGTCTTATGATGAAGCCAGAAATCTGCACAGTAAATGGTTAAAACATCAAGCATTTATGGCAGAACTTGCATCCAACAAAGAGTGGCTTGATAAAATTGAGAAGGTGAGTGAAAATATTGGATGAGGGCTCCCTCCATTTCTGTAGGGTGGCCATGGTAAGGAAGCAAACTGGGAAGAACACGCTCCTATTTAATTAGCACATTTTCCATCTTAAAGTCCTACCTGATCTCATACAAGTTGCATAACCAGAACTATCCCACTTTCACTTAGTGCTTCCTGACCTCCACTCAACAACAGAAAGGAGGAAAAACAGAAACCCAACCAGGTGGCACAAAACACTCAATGTATGCATCTCTTAATGAGTAATAAGTTTGTAATTGCTGCTGTGCTTCTCAGCTGCTGCAGTTGATGGACAGTGGCCCCTGGGCAGGGCTCCCACTGACTTGATCATACCTCATTTGTTGCACTGGGACAGACATAGACCAATACAGTGGCACAGAATTTAGAAATAATATGTGTTTTAATTTTCTTACTTTTCTTGTGTGACGACTGCATACAAGGTACTATAGTAATTTAGAACGTATTGCTTTGGCCCCAGGGGAGGTTCTGCATGGCATAACTGAACGTGAATGTTCCCTTCTCTTCCTGCTCACTTTTTATATTGTTTCAGACTCTTTAGGATTAATAGTGGTATATCATCTCCTTTGAGGGTGTTGTGCCAGGGAATAAAGTCTTAGATCATCAGCATTCACTGTCCCGTCACTCCATTCGAAGCTGTTTCAGCACACAGCAGTCACTTGTTTGCCTCCCCTGAAAGCTAGATGGTGTGCATGGATGAGTCCACTCTTGGTTTCACTGAGCAGTAACTTCATGTGGAAAGACACTGAGCATCTATTAAATGAGTGGGCAAATCATAGATCAATTATCTTAGTTTTGTTTTGCTGTGTGACATTTGTCCTCTAGAAAACAGTACTTATTTGTAACCACACTGGTTTATGTTTTCTAGGAGGGAATGCAGCTCATTTCAGAAAAGCCTGAGACAGAAGCTGTGGTGAAGGAGAAACTCACTGGTTTACATAAAATGTGGGAAGTCCTTGAATCCACCACCCAGACCAAGGCCCAGCGGCTCTTTGATGCAAACAAGGCTGAACTGTTCACCCAGAGCTGCGCAGATCTAGACAAGTGGCTGCATGGCCTGGAGAGCCAGATTCAGTCTGATGATTATGGCAAGGACCTCACCAGTGTCAACATCCTGCTGAAGAAGCAACAGGCAAGTGGGCACAGTGGCTGCATGCTGGGCCACCTTCTGGTTTTGCTGCCTGCCTCTTCATGGTCTTAGCTCACCCACTGTGTCAACCATCTGCCTTCTGTGTCTAACCCAGTAAAGTGCTCTGCCAGTACCATGGGATATTCTAGAATCAGCTGGCAAGACACAGCATCAGTAGTGGAAGTATTGGGCGTGCATTCATGGGAATACTTTCTTACCCTCATCTTAGTTGATCGGTGTCATCACCGTTGAGTAAATATTATTTTCATTCAGTTCCACATTTTACATGAAGGAAAATAATTACAGTTACCTACTTTGCTGTGTAATGATACTGAGTTGTTCAAGGTGCATTTTTTACCTCATGATAGAACACTTTAAAGGCAAATGAGTTTACTTGATTTACAATGCAGCAACTCCAGTTAGGTTGAGAGAACGAGTTGGTGGCAGAAACTTCTAGTGCCTCCCTGACTGGGTTTACAGCATGTGGTTAAGTCCCAGCCCTGTAGTTGTGCTTTGAACCAATGGCTAGGAAGGAGACCTTGCCCAGTGCAGAGGCCTGTTTCTCCATCCAAGTGACACTCACCTTTCCCATTACTGATTGACTTGGTTACTCTGCTCTTCAGGGTATTGTACATTAAGGAGTTCTCCCAGATGGTTTTCAGTTGTAGCTTTTTACCTTCCCTCCCCACAGAGGGAGTCAGTTTATGCCCAGATGTGATCCCCTTGTCTTATCAGGACACAGTTTTCTCAGTATGATGTTTCCTGAGTGAGGTGCCTCTTCTTTTACTTTTACCCTTTTTTTTCATGGCAATAAACAGTATTTTTAGCTGATAAAAGAATAAGAATAATTAACATTCTGATTGAAGATACTGAAGATAATGTTACTACTTTAGTAACATTAGCTGTTTGCCTAAAAAAAACCTAAAACCTCAAGACTTCACTCCTTTCCGATGGTTAAACTGGTTTACAGCTTCACTCTGGCTTCTGAACAGGCAGATGAATACGACCCAATCCCATAATTCTTTCTCCCCTGCCATTTCCCTCCCAAGTTCCTGAATAAATGTGAGTGTTGCTTCCAAGTTTAAAATTCCTAGAAAGGAATTTGTTTAAAAACCAGCTGATGAAGTGGAGTCCTAAAAGATAATTTGATAGATATTTAAGAACCATTTCTTGGTCTCAATTGCATATTCTTCAATGTCCAGTTTGGGCCATTTTATAGGACTCCCGTGTATGTGTGTGTGTCTCCTGCTTGAAGGTTGGTCTGTTTTCTGCCCTCAGATGCTAGAAAATCAGATGGAGGTGCGGAAGAAGGAGATTGAAGAGCTCCAGAGCCAGGCCCAGGCCCTGAGTCAGGAGGGGAAGAGCACCGATGAGGTGGATAGCAAGCGTCTCACCGTGCAGACCAAGTTCAAGGAATTGCTGGAGCCCTTGAATGAAAGAAAACATAACCTACTAGCCTCCAAAGAGATCCATCAGTTCAACAGGGATGTAGAGGATGAGATTGTGAGTAGGCCCTCACCACACCAGTGGCCTTTCCATAAACATTCTTTCCTGTCCTGCTTGCAACCTGTGTTCTCACTTCTCTGTATAACTCACCTAGGGACATGCCGGTGAGCTGACCTATCAAAATCTATGCTCTGTGTATTCACACAATGTGCAACTCAGTTATCCTCTGTGGTTTTCTAAAGCTATTGTACAGTTTTAAAAAATAATAGCAGTACAAAACACAACAAAGCAAAAACGGACAATTATAATCAGAGACAAACTGCAGGGGAGGAGAAGGAAGAGGGATCAGAGGGAGGGAGGGAGGAGCACAGGGGGCTGTGGTGATGGTGCACAGGTACCTTGATGAAGGAAACTGTGTGGGGACTACACCTGAGGGGGTGGGGGGAAGCAAATATTGTTTAAAAATGAACAATGATGTAAAGAAAATAAAAAATTAATATATATATAAAACAAAACACTCCCTATATAAAGGAAAAGATATTGTACAATTTTAATGCTTCTCAAACAATATTTTTAAAAAATCAGAATGATGACTCCTACTGAATTTGGCATTGAAAATGAGGTAAGGTCCGGAAGATGAACCTTCTCCCCTCTCAGGCTCCTCAGGCAGCCATTTCTAGCGGGATTTAACACACACTCTTGTGTTGGCCTTGCTATCCCCTGCTACTCTTGTTTGTATCAAATATTTGTTCTTTTTGAGTGGTTCTGACCACCAGTTTACAATTCTTTCCAGTTGTGGGTTGGAGAGAGGATGCCCTTGGCAACTTCCACAGATCATGGCCATAACCTCCAGACAGTGCAACTGTTAATAAAGAAAAATCAGGTAAGCATTTCTGCTCCAGCCAACCTCAGTCTGATGAGTAATTGCTCCAAATTACAAGGCAGAGAATGTGAGTGATCTTTGAAGTCTTCGATTTCTTCTTGGCCCCAAGGCACTGATGTAAAAGGCATGTTGTTGCAGTCTAGCAAGCCCTCTTACGTGTTCCCCATTCCCACAGACCCTCCAAAAAGAAATCCAGGGGCACCAGCCTCGCATCGATGACATCTTTGAGAGGAGCCAAAACATAGTGACTGACAGCAGCAGCCTCAACGCTGAGGCCATCCGACAGAGGCTTGCTGACCTGAAGCAGCTGTGGAGCCTCCTCATTGAGGAAACAGAGAAGCGCCACCGGCGGCTGGAGGAGGCCCACAGGGCCCAGCAGTACTACTTTGATGCAGCAGAGGCTGAGGCGTGGATGAGCGAGCAGGAGCTGTACATGATGTCTGAAGAGAAGGCCAAGGTGAGGGGGTTCCTGTCCTCTGTGAACGAAATCGGGGACACACCACCATCCCAGAGGAGTCTCACCCTCAGACCCCAAGTTTATTTTCTGTTGGTGACTGTCTTTGTGAAACATTTCACTTTGGCTGTTGTGTTACGGAATTGATAGCACTGTGGGACACACAGGTGGCTGAAATCTGGCTGAGACTTCCCCTCAACTCAGAATGTTCTTCTCTGACCTGGTGTGTTATTAAGCTGGATTCATCCCATCTTATTATTATTATTAGAAATTTCCATGGTCTTAGTTCTCTCTAAGAACTATAAGGGTTACCTAAACTTGTAACATACAAGAAGCTTTTGAGAGTATTTTAAGGTTCCAGAATGCTGTCATCTGCACATCTTTTAGACTAGGAGGAGCTCTGCCAGCGATACATGTGGTTTGCCTGGGTTTGACTTATACCTCAGAGGGCTCTCTGTCATTCTGCTCTGCCTCATGTTTGCCCTTCACAGAGACCTCACACTGTCCAGTCCATACCGACATTCTTGAAAAGTTTGTTTTTTTTTTTTCCTTTGTTCTCTGTCCATATCACACTACTGGGTTTGGTATATTTTCCAGTGCCCCTTCCTCCTGCTTCCCATGCAGTCAGCCTGCCCCTGTGCTGGGGGTTTGGTAGGGGGTAGCTGTGGTGTGACAGTCCCCTCTCTCCGCAGGATGAGCAGAGTGCTGTCTCCATGTTGAAAAAGCACCAGATTCTGGAACAAGCCGTGGAGGACTATGCAGAGACAGTGCACCAGCTCTCCAAAACCAGCCGGGCCCTTGTCGCTGACAGCCACCCCGAAAGGCAAGTACCAATGTGTGATGGTGAGGTGGGTCTGTTAGCTCTTCTGAGTGAGGGCCTTTTGTAGCCTTTGCTGAAAGGCAGCATTCAGATTCAGTAATTGGTAATGTAGATCTTTAGGAAGCAGTTTTAAAACAGACTTGCTAATACTGAGTAAGAAAGGTGAATGTTGGGCCTCCCCTGGTGGCGCAGTGGTTGAGCGCTGGGCTGCGAAGATGGCCACAGCCTCTGCAGCGCCGGTTCATCCCCGGCCGCAGGTGAGGGTCTCACATGGCATGCAGAACTCGCCTGCCGCCCGCTGCTCCCCTCAGCAGTGTATTTCGTCACTCTGCCTGTTCTGTTCCCTGCTCTGGCTCTGGTGAATTCTCTCACTCTCCCCGCTTCTGACTGTACCCAGTGCTTGTATAAATAAATAAATAAATCTTTTTTTAAAAAAAAAAAAAAAGGAAGAAAGGAAGGAAGGAAAGGAAGAAAGAAAGAAAAGAAAGAAAGAAAGAAAGGTGAATGTTATATAGGAAATAGCCCCGATAGGTTAATTAGCTTTTAAAGCCAGTACCCTTTTGAAAGGTCATTGTTTTCATTAATAAGTAGTACAGATTGACTTGCTGAGATACCAATTATCTAAGCACTTGCCCTTGAATTGAAAGTCATCCACTTTAGGGAAGAAAGTAATTACTAGTTTTAGAGAAAGAAGACTTATATGTATCTATAAAATAATAACAGCTCCCAAGAACAAAATGACACCACCTCCTGACTCTTAGACATCTAGGACTTAGAATGCCTTAGAAATAAAATAAATAAATTCAGGAGGTACTCCCCAGCTATGAACTGGCTCTGGTGATTAACTTCAGTGACCATCATTTTAGACTTTCTATGTAACAGCCTTTTATGACACAGAAAGGAAATGAATTGTCTGGATGTGGTAACCCAGGCAGGTTCAGTCTGTGTTGGAGTAGGGGATCATTCATGATCAGGATTCCCAGCAAAGTCAGGTCTTCCCAGCTTCCAGGGATAGGCATCCATCTACAAGTCCTTGTCTCTTTGATTTCCTGTTGCATGACAGTCACTCTGAAAATTTGGAGAGAGGAGGATCTGCCTCCTGGCAGGGAAGAACCTATAGTCCAGAGCAGTTACAGCATGTGCCACATGGGGTTATCATTGTCTCTCTGGCCACATGGTAGCAAGAATAGAAGACAGCGCCTGGATTTTGCATTAACGTATAACGTCAAAGGAAATCCTGACTGATGGAGCCAGCAGCACCAAGTTACAGCTTCCCTTCTCTCCCTCTGTCACCAGTCAGGATGGCCTTCAGCCTTAATTACTGGGCTTTGTTTACATGTTGGCTCTTCATTACTTGAAGTTGAGGTCAAATTTCAGAGTTTGATTTTTTTCAGGTTAGATAGGTTAAATAGAAGTTACCTTTGAGAAATTTTTTTAACTGGATTTTTTTTTAATTTATTTATTTATTGATGCATACAAGAACTAGGGTAAAAGCCAGAGGAGCAGTGGGTGAAAGGATTCACCAGAGACAGAGTGGGGAGCAGGACAGGCGTATCTGTTGAAATACATTGCTGAGGGGAGCGGCAGAGGAGACAGGAGAGGTCTGCTGCCCCATGTGGGGCAACTCCCCTAGCTGGCAATCAAATTCGTGCTGCAGTGACTGTGGATAGCTTCTTTATTGAGACTTAAAACCTTGTGCCATCAGGGAGGCCCCATCTTCGAGAAATTTTATATAACATGCTCTCTTGGCATCTCTACCTCACATTTGTTTTCTCCCCAAAGAAAATTCAACATTAAAGTTTCCCTTCCCCGACCCTTTGCAGCGAGCGCATTAGCATGCGGCAGTCCAAAGTGGACAAACTGTATGCTGGCCTCAAAGACCTTGCTGAAGAGAGGAGAGGCAAGTTGGACGAGAGGCACAGGCTGTTCCAGCTCAACCGGGAAGTGGACGACCTGGAGCAGTGGATCGCCGAGAGGGAGGTGGTCGCAGGGTCACATGAGCTGGGACAGGATTACGAGCACGTCACGGCAAGTACTAAGGAGGGTGTGAGCATTGGGTGTGGAAGGCTGTCTACGTTCTCTGACTGTGAGTGGGTGAAATGCCCTAAACTCAAGTCAAGCATCACAGGATTTAGTTTCAACTTGTTGTTCTTATCACCAGGCGACTTTGACATAGCCTTTCTGTGCCCTCCTTTCCAGTAGTTAGAGGAAATGGAGGCACTGCCTTACCTTGCCTGCTGCAGTGAGCAAGAAGGAAGCCTGATGGATAAGAGGTTTCAGAACTAAGATCTGTTGTCACATCATGCATAGCACTCAGTTCTTTCCAAAGGACATTCATGTGATCAAGAATGGTCTCACTGACTGTTGTGCATTCATCTCCCTTTCAGATGTTACAGGAGCGATTCCGGGAGTTTGCCCGGGACACTGGAAACATTGGGCAGGAGCGTGTGGACACGGTCAATCACATGGCAGATGAACTCATCAACTCTGGGCACTCAGACGCTGCCACCATCGCTGAGTGGAAGGACGGGCTCAATGAAGCCTGGGCTGACCTCCTGGAGCTCATTGACACGAGAACACAGATTCTCGCTGCCTCCTACGAACTGCATAAATTTTACCACGACGCCAAGGAGATCTTTGGGCGCATACAGGACAAACACAAGAAACTCCCCGAGGAGCTCGGGAGAGATCAGAACACAGTAGAGACCTTGCAGAGGATGCACACCACATTTGAGCACGACATCCAGGCTCTGGGCACACAGGTGGGTTGGGGGTCTCAGACCTACTGAGGAGCGTTCTCTCCATGCAGCATCTTTGTGTGTCTCTGAGCCTCTCTATTCTTTGGCTTCTTAAAATATGTCTCAAAGAATTGCCCAAATGAAACACATGCAGGGCATGCACAAGTTGTTACAAGTCCCTATGTGGAAGAGTTTAATCAGTCCAAGAAGAAGATGCCATGGTATTTGCACCAGATGACGTCTTCAGTGACTCCTTAGAATGAGTAGTTAATTTTCGTGGGACTTTTCACTTTTGCTCTCCTCCTCAACCTCGCTTTCTGTTGTGAGAGCAAATTGAAAACAACCAGAGGCGCAGGAAAAGTTTGGTTTTTTTTTTTGTTTTGTTTTGTTTTTTATTGTTTAGAAAGATGTGGTTAGTGGTATAGGAAATTAGCTTTTCAAGTAATTTCCTACAAACTTGGCTTGTTATAATTTGAGTTTTATCTGAGCCATAATTAAAGAATATTTTTAAGTCTCCTAGGATATGGAAATCAAGTCACCATGGAAACCAGACCCCACTAGAAATTTCTTTTCCATACCTACCACCACCACCACATCCTTACTATGGTGGCCAAAGGGGTCATTAATCCCCCTCTCCCCTCGCCCCGTTCATCCCCACCCACTTTCACCCACCCTCGTGCCCCATTGTCATCCAGATACCCTCTCACAGACACCCTACACTCCTGTCATTTGGACTGGTTGTGGGCACACTTTGACCACAGAGCCTTATCAAGAAATGAAATTTGAATTTATATTTCTCACTGTGTACATTTTTAATTAGATATTGTATACATGTATTGCACTAGTAACTATGTAAAACTAAGAGAAGAAAATACTTTTAATATGGACTAGCCATGATTATCTCTTAAGGTCATATTTCCTCCCATCCCACCCCCTCATCCTGGAAAAAAAGATGAGTCTATTCTCGTTTTTTCTGTTTCTACACACAAAGTAGATACTGTGCACATTGTTTGCTTTTTGATCTTTCCACTTAGCCATCACCTGGGAACACACGCATATAAGCACCCAGAGTTCTTCCTCACCTTTTAATGTTGGGACGCACCAACATTAATCTAACTGGTGTCTCAGTCTTTTGCAGAAGTGCTGTAGTAAATAACCTTGTCTGTATTCATCTCCAGAATATTCAAGAATATGTATAGGATAAATTCCCCAAAATGGGATTATAAAATCAAAAAGTACATGCATTTTGTGTTTTTGATGGATATTCCCATTTGCCTTCTGTAGGAGCGGTAGCCCGCAATAATCTTTTCAACCATGAAGCAGTTCAGTGACAAATACCAGACTACTGAGTTTTTGCTTACTAATAGATGACAAATTACAGTATCTTGGGTAGCATCTTTTCATGAGATTCCTTTGCATATCCTGTACTCTGAACTTTCTCTTCCTGCCAGTTTTAGTGTTGATTTATTGGTGTGTGTGTGTGTGTGTATTTGGTGACTTGTCACAGCTGAAAAAGATAACTCACCAAAATTACATTGATGCATTACTGGCTACATTTACCAAATTGCAGTTCTCATCGTTAATTCTGAGTTTTGAAAAATTTTTGTTGAAATTTGACTAGTTGAAATTTTATTTTCTTTGATGTCAGTCAGTTCTTTCAGCCAGATTAGATGCCGGTCTTATTAGATGCTGCTTTAAGACACTTTATGTCTTTCAAGTTGAAATATTCCAGATGTTCTGGGAGCTCTTATGCGGCACATACAGCGTTTCCAGCAACAACATGTAGAGATGGAAAGGCACTTCAAAATGTGTTCTCCATGATTGTTTCTTTTTCGTGATAAAAACATCTCTACTCTGAAAGGAGATCAAGTGGGGTTTGTTTTGTTTTACTCTATCTGGATATGTACCATTTTCTGTACCACGTTGCTGGCCACTTCCAAGGAACCGTTCCTGATCAAGCTCTCCCACCTGCATTCCTCTGTAATATTTCATTTATCACTTAGTTAGAACTTATAGTGCCATTCAATACACTTACAGTAAACTTAGATCTCCCAAGGAAATTGTGAGTTCCTTGTGGGGCAGAGACCCCATTTTTACTTGGAGCTCCCATTAGTGGGGAAGCAGAACAGTCTGCACATGTGAAGGTTGTTGGGGGGATGGTGGAGAGGAGGCCCAGCCATGTGACCTGGGTCTGATCCAACTCATCTTCCCTCTGTCTTCACAGGTTAGGCAGTTGCAGGAGGATGCAGCCCGCCTCCAGGCAGCCTATGCAGGTGACAAGGCCGACGACATCCAGAAGCGGGAGAATGAGGTCCTCGAAGCCTGGAAGGCCCTGCTGGACGCCTGTGAGGGCCGCCGGGTGCGACTGGTGGATACTGGGGACAAGTTCCGCTTCTTCAGCATGGTGCGTGACCTCATGCTGTGGATGGAGGATGTCATCCGGCAAATCGAAGCCCAGGAGAAGCCAAGGTAACACCACTGGCTATCTGGGAATCCTGCTAAATGACCTTTGGAGTGCACTGGCTTCCAGAGAGAATCAGGGAAAACCTAGGCTGAGAACTTTGAGGCTAGAGTAGGGACAGGAGGAAGTTTTAGGGGAGCCACCGCTGGCTCACTTATCTCCGGCATACAGTGGCTCGACCCCTTGCTCCCTGGCCACTGTATTATTGGTCCATGTCCCATGCTGTCCCAGGCTCCGCCTTGTCTGCAGACCACATGTTTTAATGCGCCACATGACTAGGTAAGGCATGACCAGCTCTGCCTCATTGTTGGGATGAGATAGCTTTTTTGAGTTCCTTTTCTAGCCTATTAGATTAAAGACCACTCTGTTCCATTTCACCACACATTACTAAAGGTGTCTCTTAACCTTCAACATCTGCTTTGATGGTGTCTTGATGATTATGTAATATCTTTTTCTGTATAGACCCTTTGACTTTGTGTCATAGCAAGCAATGAAGAGAGCACGTAGATGAACTAGCAGGCATATGTACAGCCTTCAGTTAATTCCTGCCAGCTCCAGCCCCCACCATAATTGAGAAGACATGTTACCTTAAAAGTCCTCATCATGAGAAAAAAAAAGTCTATAACTGTATGGTGATATATGCTTGCTAGACTTATTGTGGTGATCATTTTGCAGTGTATACAAATACTGAATTGCATTATATACTTGAAGCTAATACAGTGTTGCATGCCAGTTGTGCCTCAACCAAAAAATATTTTTATTTTCACATTTATATATAGAAAGCATTTGTATTTCCTAGAGTCAGTCTGTCCAGTCAGTAGGTTTTGATACATGGAAAGATCCCACATCTCTACCAGTTTGCGAGTTCTAAGCTGGTTCCCACTCCATTTGTCTCTTCATGTCTGAATAGGAGATAGCAGCAGCTCTGTGAGCACAGATGTCCCAACCTTTGGCAGCTAATTCATTGGAGTACAATGGGGGATCCCTGATACTGCCTCTGTACTTTCTTGGAAAGCATCCAAATTGCAAGTTTCAACAGGAATCAATGGTTTTTCTGGCATCCACATAGCAAACAACCATTTTGATTTGTTCAGGCACTGACACAAATATACAGACACATACAAAACATGAAAATAACCTCATTCTAAATGTTTGGTTGCATAACTGCTCTAGAATTGTAGTGTCCTTGTGCTTTTGATCCATTATCCCAGCCGAAGCTCAGACTGTGAATCAGCCCTGAAAAATGAACTGTGTGGTTGCAACAATTTCCTTCAAATTAATTATATTTTGAAACCTGCATATTTATTTGAAAAGATTGATTTCATGCAAGTATTACTTGTCTAATTTTAGGGATGTATCATCTGTTGAACTACTAATGAATAATCATCAAGGTATCAAAGCTGAAATTGATGCTCGTAATGATAGTTTCACAACCTGTATTGAACTTGGAAAATCCCTGCTGGCAAGAAAGCACTATGCATCTGAGGAGGTAGGGTGCTGCTTTGCTTTGGGGTGCCAGTATGAATACAGCTGGTGTTAAGATGTAAAATGATTTATTGCATGAGTTGGTAGGTATGTGTAGTCAGGCACACACATACACACATAGAGAAATATATATTTGCTTTCATATACATATATGCATATATTTATATATATTTCAAAATTCCTTGCTGCTTTTCTGTGTGTCCAGAATAAGACAATGATGTAAGACTAGATGCAAAGTCAATACACTGTAGCATAGAAGACAAATTATGAGTACCTGAGGTTGAAGTTTCATCCTCTCTCACCCCCTCCATCCTGGCTGACATCCCTAGGCTGTGTCTCTTATTGGATGGTTGCTAATTCCAGTTAGGACAGTAGTAATAGAGAAGCAGATGATTTGTCCAGTATGCACACCTCTTAAGGAACTGGAGTGGATGTTCTCTCGGAGAGGTCAGGGCTTTGCCCTTCTTGCTATCCCTCTCAACTGTAGGGACCACCCAAATCTGGAGAGGAGCCAGGGCATTGTTGATTTCCTCATGACAGATAGCTTTGGGTGGAACTCCACTATCCTCTCTGTCCCTTCTGGATGGTTTCTGCTTCCAGAAGCTCCTCCTGCTTTTCTTTCTACTCCCTGTACACAAATAGGCCAAACAGTCCTTAGACATGTATTTCTGGTGGTCTCTACAGAAAATGTGTTTTTCTTGTATGAAGTGGCCCATCAAGGGGAAGACTAGGAGGATTTGTTACATTCTATTAAGATGTCCCTGGGGTCCTTCTTTTCTCACAGATCAAGGAAAAGTTATTGCAGTTGACGGAAAAGAGAAAAGAAATGATTGACAAGTGGGAAGACCGGTGGGAGTGGTTAAGACTGAGTAAGGACATACTTTATTTCTGCTTTTTTGGGTGTCTGTTGAAAGCATGCAAGTTTATTTTCCTGCTTTAATTGTTGTGATCTTGTCATTTAATTTTTGAAGTTCTAAATGCTTTTTATTACTGCCCACTTACACCATTTCATGCTAAATATTTTTTAGTAGTTCCCTGTTGTACACCCATTATTTTCAACCCCATGGTTGATCTCAGTGTCTAAGTGGAATTTGAGTATTCTGTAAGAACACCATGGGGAAGACAATTCAGTATCCCTTTGGGAGAGTACAGAGAGAATCACCACCTCCTGCAGTTATCTTTAAGGAGAATTATCACTGCTGTCAAGAAGGTGGAACAGTTGACCTGATGATGTCTTATAGTTGGTACTCAACCTACTCTAGTAGTAGGTTGATAGCATAATAAAAGCTAAGGATCATAAGCATTTTGCAGTAGACTTCATTCTAAGTGTTTCTACATATTTTTTTATATTTATTCCACTTACTGATCTGTGAAGTAGTTTCTATTTGTAGCCTCATTTTTAGTAAAAGATATGGATAGAGTTTATAATATGCAGCATTGAGGATGGCATTTAATTGCATGAACTCTGAAAGTAGCCCAACTCAAACATTTTCTACTGTACTTTACCAATTCTGTATTTGGGTTCTGGGCTCTTTCCTTGTATGATAGCCCCATTCTCAGGCAGCAAGGGTGCTTTCTAGAAACAGAATCCCCGGAGCCTAGAAAAGGTGTATAAGAAGACTCAGAAAGGCACCTTGCCCTGGTGGAGCCAAAATCCTGTTTTTGAAAAAGAAATCCCATTTTGACCTCTCTTTCTGTAAAGACTTGGTTTGCAAATTTTGAGAATACCTAGAGCAGGCTCAGTTCATATTATACTGCTCTGTGGAATCAGGTTGTATTGGGCTCAAATGTCACATCCTAAGTGCATTGGTGGCATCTTCTCCTGTGGCCATGTCATGGTACCAGGGCAGTCAAAAGATGTAGCTGGCAGCTCCTTGGGGACCGATTGATGCTGCCTACAGTGCATTTCTACCAGAATGACTCCAGGAATTGCTGTGGGAGGTGGAATGGAAATGTTCACTCCGGTGCTGATTCTGACCCACCTCCTAACTGCAGTGGAAGTCATGCTTGATTTCCTCACATGCGGAGGAAAAGAATAAGTCAAGGAAAATTCTAGCCCACGTTATCCTCCCCTTCTTATATGGTCTTGCAACCCTCCAAAATAAACTTAAAACTGCCACTCCCAAAACGGATGATTTATGAGTGCCTATTTGTAAGTAGGTCGTGGATTCCTGTAGGGCTCTGAGGCTTATCTCACTGAATTAGGGCTGAGCTAGCATATACCTTCAAGGCCTATGCTGTCAGGCATCATAGTTAATGTCTTCATGGTGCTCTTGAGAACTTAAATTGTGGCTGGTGCAAATTGAGATGTGCTACCAGTCCAAAATACACATCAGATTTCAATGACAGAAAGAAAAAAATGAGACATCGCAACAACTTTTTATGTTGGTTGCATGATAAATTGTTTTTGACATATCAGGTTATATAAAAGGTACTAATAAAAATTAATTTCATCTGTTTTAACATAGCTGCTTAAGAAAGGGGAGCATTGTACATGAAGCTCTAATTACATAAATCTTGGACAGGACTGCTCTAAGTTATCACTGGTTGTGCAGAAAACTGCCACCAGAGGGTGGCAGGGCCAGGAGACAGGCCATCTCTGCCCACCCACCCTGCTCACCAGCACTCACTCTTGGTTGCCTGTGCAGTTTTGGAGGTCCATCAGTTTTCAAGGGATGCCAGCGTGGCTGAGGCTTGGCTGCTTGGACAGGAGCCGTACCTATCCAGCCGAGAGATAGGCCAGAGTGTGGATGAGGTGGAGAAGCTTATCAAGCGCCATGAAGCTTTTGAAAAGTCTGCAGCTACCTGGGATGAGAGGTTCTCCGCCCTGGAAAGGCTGACAACAGTAAGTGATGCCTGGATGCTGGGTGCTTAGCTTCTAGTTCTCATGGGCAAGCTGCGTCTTCTTCCTGCTCACCTCCCAGACCAGGGACTCCATATTATTGATATTTGTCCGTTTTCAAAGACAGTAAAGATCTTCCTGAGGGGACCTTCCTAGACGTATTACCTTCTCAATTACTTCCCCAGCACCTCAATTTATGATCATCAGAGATTGATTGATTATTAGACTTTTCTTTCTCCTTTGACCTGCTTTTCCTCCTATGTATCACAGAAGCTTTGGTTTCTAGGGGCTATAACCTTGTAGTTTCCTTCATAATTTCAGAATTAGAATTTCTGCCTAGTAGCATTTTGATCATAGACCACTGAAAATTTCCCCATTCTTGACAGCCTCTCCTACTAACACCAATGCCTTAAAATAGAACTTTGTTCACTAGTGTTTTCCTCTCCCAAGACACTTGTAATACATTCTTTACAACGTATAAAAATGTTATTTCTGATTTCTGCAATTCTGGGGATTTAGAATAAATATGCATATTTTTATATTAAAATGGAATGTTTTTGGTGTGTGCATACCAGTTATGAAATGACTTAGTTTCAATTAGATATTCTGTGGCATTTCTTTTGTGTCGTTTGGGTTTTGACTGAATTCCTACAATAATGCAAGCAGCCGTCTTGGACCTGCATGGATTCATGCTCAGGTCCTTTATTCATAAGCCAAGTTGAGAGCTGCTCAGAGTAGTTCATTTAGAAATTAAACTCCCGTATCCTTGAGGCATACAAATAACTCAAAGGACTTCTGCCAGAAACAGACCTACTTTACCACTCTGACCTCTGTTACATATAGTTTCAGATGGTAGCTGCAATTCCTACAGTGCTAATGTCCTCTGCTTAGGAAGTCAGCACCTCTAGTTTCCATTGTGATCAAGTGTAGAAAATTCAGAAAGGCGGATTTTCTGGATTCTTCTTGAATCCTTTCCTAAAAGAGGCAGTGTTGGGGGCTGTGTCCACCCTCACCATGTCTTCCCCTTCAGTTGGAGTTACTGGAAGTGCGCAGACAGCAAGAGGAAGAGGAGAGGAAGAGGCGGCCGCCTTCTCCTGAGCCGAGCACGAAGGTTTCTGAGGAGGCCGAGTCCCAGCAGTGGTGAGTCTGGTCTTGGGCAGCAAGGGAGGCTTAGGGAGCCGGCTGTGCTAGGCCTGAACACTCGCCTGTCCTGTCCACTGCTTCTGTAGGATATTTAGATTGGGCATAGTCACCCCTGGATTATGAGAACCCTACTTGTCCATAGTCACATGACTGGGTGGCCACTGGTGGGCACTGTCAACAGCATGTTGTCTGTGCATGCACGTGCGTGCACGCTCGCTCACTCACTCAGTCCCCACATGATGAAATGGAATGAGTGAACCATTCTGATTTTAGTCCAGTGAATGTGTCATGGTGCTTTGTGAAAGGTCTGTCTTTCTGACAGATTCTCTTTCTGAAAGGCTAATTATTTTGCTGTGGGTAAGAGGTTCATTACAGTCCCTGATGCTGGTTTTGCGTGGAGGGGCATGTCCATAGTCTTAGAGTTTCTTTGAAACACTTGGAAAGCTTTAGGAAAGAAATTACACTGTGTAGAAAGGAGGTTGCATTGGTTTTTCTTACAGAGAACCTGTAGTAAAACTGACTCTTCTCCCCACCCCCTTACTCTTTTTCTCCTTTTCCTTTTCCTCCCTTGCTCTCTTCCTTCCCTCCCCCTCTTGTTCTCTTCTCCTTTCCCTAACAGGGATACTTCCAAAGGAGAGCAAGTTTCCCAGAACGGCTTGCCGGCTGAACAGGGATCTCCACGGGTTAGTTACCGCTCTCAAACCTACCAAAACTACAAAAACTTTAATAGCAGACGGACAGCCAGTGACCAGCCTTGGTCTGGACTGTGAAGTTCACTGCCATTTGTCAAGAACCATTCTTTCCAAATCCTGTTGGTTTGACCTTTTGGCTTCCACTTTACCCACAGTGTTAAAATTTTACTGAATTCATAGCCGCCCTTGGTTTCATATTTGTTTGCATTTAATTCATGTGTATTTAAGTCTTTTAACTGATGGATGCTCAGTTGCCTTAAGGCAACATACTTACTTTTTTGTTTATTTATTGTGAGCTTTTTACTTTATTAAGATTTTACAGCGAAAGCCTTACATGAGTAATTGAAATTAAATGAGATTACAGCAAAGTGAAGAAGAAAACTAGAATCCAACAGGTATGACACATCCAGTTATACTAACAGGGTGCAATATTGCCCTAGATGTAGCTCCTTTTACAGATGTTATTAACCTGCAATAGTTTACTATTAACTAGGAAGACTGGGTTGTAAGGAAGGAAACTTACAGACTTTCGGTACTAAGACTATAACCTGAAGTCAGCTGTATAAACATTCCATGGACGATGCATTTATTTGTTGAAAAATGACAGGGGGAAGAAAGGAAGCTGGATCAACTTGGGAAAGCTCAGATTATTACTTTTTACAAAGCCATTTGTCTCTCTTTTTTTTTTTCCCTGCCAAGTCCGGAGAATTCTAGGCCTACTCCATGCACCAGAAAATGCAGCCAGCTTCAGTAGTTAAGTGCATGCTGACTCTGCCACACCTTTGTCTCAGTCACTGCCAGGACAGGGGACGGGGCAGGGGCTGGCAGTACTCAGCATGTTCCGGAAGCCTGCCTACTAGACTTCAAGGCTTCTCCATGCACTTGATGACTTCAGGGTATCAAACTTTTTCAATTTTTCAAATGTGGAACAAAAGCCATTCTGGTCCACCCTGATTACTTGAACAAGGCTGTGGTGGACCACCCATAGGAGCAGCGGCACACTTTCTGGCTTCAGAATTCATTCTAGTGTCTCTGTCGACAGAGACACTAGATACACTCTGGTACATCTTGTAGGGACCTTCTGATTTGTTTTTCACTTTCTTCAGTCTTTTTGTGGAGTCTTCTAATAAGGAGTCTTCCAGGATGGTATTTATCAGACCACCAGCATGGACTAAAATTATTTTTTAACAGAAATCCTGTTCTTTAGGATAAAAGCTAATAGGTGACTTCCTGCTACTAATAAAGACAAAACAAAATCAAATCCATATTTAGTCAAAACCTTGTGAGACATTCACTTGCTCATTTGCCATATTTAAATGTTAGTGGAATCAGAAACCTGTTTTGATATGTGTTCTCCATGAGTTAAGTCTAATTTGTCTTTTCATTTCATGATGCATGTCTTTTTTTTTTCTTTTGTCAGGATAACATCATATAGCATCTTGTTTGTTTTTCCTTATTTCTATGTACATATCTATCTACCTGTGACTGTAGATGGGTATATAGATAGATGCCAAGCTTCTTATGTTCTGGGGGTAGTGTGCACCATTATTGGGTCTCTGCCTGAAAACACACCCAAATCCATTTTAGGAATTAACACAGTTTCATCTGTGGTCTTTAGGGAGCCCTCGTGTGTTTCTGGCTCTGAATTACATTATGTATGTCATTGATCTATATGTATATATATGATGTTTCCATATATATGTTTAAAGTTTGTACCATCAACACTACTAGTATCCAATTTTATGCTTTTTTTTGTTTTCAGAAGACCAAAAAAAAAAAAACCCCACATAAGCACACAGCGAAGGAGTGCTATGTTTCTGGCGTTTGTTCCCATGCCTATTTTTATCTAGATTTTTAGATAAAACAGATTGCCAGAACAGATTTTTAATTACAATTGGATTGTATAGAAGAAAATCTTTTTATTACTTTGAGTTATGGTGCAGAGACTCAAGTTAATGAACTTGAAAATAGTGTTGCTTCATGCACTTAGAAAACCAATCAGGTGTTTCTTGTGCTGCTACTTGTCACGTTGCACTTATGTTCACCTCCTGATTTAAATCTCAGGTGCATCCAGCCACTAAAGCACTCCAGACTAATTGCTCTAGAGAGGCAACAAAGGGCGGGGAGGGGGCTGTATTCACATGTACCCACTGTTTGGTCATAGCACTGTGATTTGCTTTTGATGTTTGTCTCTAGTAGTGTGCTGTCTGTTGGCATGCTTACAGCATATGTCCATTAAAATTCATTTTTATTCCTTTTATTTTCCTTGTTTTCTTGGTTAGTGATTCATTTGCATAAACATTAATTATCTCTGCATACTGGTTTGGAGTTTTCTCTTTCCTTCTAACTCCAAAGAAAAAAATTTTTGCTGCAGAATTTTTCTCAAAGAGACTTCCCTGCCTTCACTTACCTTTGAAGTACAATAAATTTTAGCCAATTTGGTAAACATTTCTCTACCCTTGGCAATACTGTCACTAGCAGTTTTCAAGTCACACCTGCCTGCAGCACTAATTTTTTCTTAACCTGGTTTCTATACAACACTAACTCCATGTCTCCCTGAAGTCATGCCTGGCACAGGCTTTACAGACCAAACTTGTATTTCCTCCCCACTGGAAGTTTCCTGTAAATCACACACTAGAACAGATTTGTCAACTTAAAAATCCATTCATTTTCTTTTGACTCTGGGTTTTGTTTTCTGGTAATATCCCTTCCTGCACCTCTTCTTTAAAAGTTAAAGGAAAGAGAAATATGTAATAACCTATCACTAATAAGTGCCTGTGAAGAGGCAGTCACTTGCAAGGCCAGGATGATCACACCCCCTGCCCCTCACTCCCATGTATTTCTGCCCTCAGAATCCATTCTCCACATCTCTGTGTGGGTAAAGCACCCTTCAATTGATGGCCTCTAGTTTCACCCTAAAACCCAAAGCTAATGGTAATGGTTTGGATGGACATAATGTAAACTTGTGACCCAGCCACTTGGATAAGATGTAAATGAGAGCTCCATTTCCTGAGAGTTGACAGATCTGGGTGTCCAGCAGTGGTGGCCAGTCTATTGTTTTTCCTGTCAAGGTTGTTGCTGCTAATTTGGTGTCATTTTGGTTCTGGGCAGCAGTGGTGGGGGATGTATCTAATGAGCGTACCATTGACACCTCCATGTTTGTCCGTGTATGAGGGGTGTAGGTTGTCTGTAATCCACTAAAGTGTCAGCCAACACCCAGCTTTAGTAACTTGCTAATCTCACCCCCTGGGTATATCAGCCAGGGGCTGCTACAGTTAATGGTACTCAGTTGAAGGCACACAGACTGAAAGCGATATTGAATGGAGACCCTACTGCATTTCCAAAGCCGAAAAGCCATGAGGGTTTCCATTTTAAATGAGCTTGGGAAGGAACAGCTCCCGAAGACGTCTCCATCCTGAAGGGTCAGAGCCGCTGGAAGCCTGGCTGTCTGGGCTTTCTCGTCTCAGTGCAGCAAGGCACCGTGATCAACCAACACGTGATGGGGAAGGCCCTGGTTCTGTCTTTGTTTGGGGGTAAATAGCCGTGTGGTGTTGAGTGACTGTGATTGGCTTTTCTAGCTCCTTTAACACAAACTACAACCCACTCACGATACAACTTCGGCAGATGTGGTTAAATTGATGTTTGTTGACTTGCCTCATTTCCTTCCAGCTCTTAAGTTCCAAAGTCTAACTGGGATGGTAGATGTGAAATGCATGATTGTCGTCCTAATTTCTGCATGTGTTTATGACAATGTGTTGAGGGGTGGGGGAGGAGAGCCAGAGAGCATTTTCAGAAACCAAAGGTCTTTCCTTTGTCTTACTATGGGGGAATGCTGTGTAGTTCTGATAGAGTTGTCTATCAATCTGTTTGTGAATGCCCTTTCGCTTCAACTTCCAGCCCTTCTGGTGGCGTCCTTTGGTTGTAAGGTGGCTGCTGTATAACGTCCACTCTCATATTTAATATGTGTGATTGTGACTGTTGTCCTTTTGTTTTAAAGTAACTGTAAGGAAATAATCTGAGCTACATTAGAGAAAATGGATTGATCAGAGGAGTAGAGTGCAGTAAAACTCATACTGGCATTTCGCTTTTCTCATTCCCCATAAACGGGCTGGTATTAATCCGTTCCCACCTTCTAATGTCCTTGGTGCCCAGCTGGCTTTGTGGGATGTGCAATGGTTTTACTGTACTGCCTCGATCTGTGCCAGGCATTTATACACAGCCACGTGTGCAAGTCAGAGCGTATGTGAGCCCCCGCAGCTCACACGCTTGGCTGAATGGCCTCTCCACTGTCCCTAGATGGTCGAAACGGTGGACACAAGTGAAATGGTCAACGGTGCTGCAGAACAGCGGACAAGTTCAAAGGAGTCCAGTCCCATCCCTTCCCCCACCTCTGATCGAAAAGCCAAGACTGCCCTCCCAGCCCAGAGTGCCGCCACCTTACCAGCCAGGACTCAGGAAACGCCTTCAGCCCAGATGGAAGGCTTCCTGAATCGGAAGCACGAGTGGGAGGCTCACAATAAGAAAGCTTCAAGCAGGTAACAGCAGCAAGGCTGGGCAGTCAGCTATAGGGCGGCCTGGTAAAGGTCAAGGTGCACCCTTGGTGAGTTGAAAGGGGTGGGTACGCTCACATGATTGATTGGTGTGTGGCTGCCTGGGCATCTGGGTGTTCTGGGTTTTCATCATGGGAACTGGGAGCAGAGTGCTTTATAGAGTTTGAACTGGATGGGAGTCATGAATAGGGGCCTTAGTATTTTAATCTGAGAAGGAATACTGCTAAATGGAGCTTGAGGAGTCTTAAAGTGAAATTTCATTGTTTCTCTTACTTGCATTTTTTTAAGCTATTCCCCATTTCCTAAGCCTTAACTCCATTTCAGTCTTAATGTTCCCCAATCTCCCAAATACCCTACTTTTATTACCTCTCTGGATGAGGAGAGGTCCCCTTGTCAAGCTTCCAAGCTACATTAAGAATGCAGCTGAGGTTGGAAGAGCTCTTCATGCTTAATGACAGACATGTTTCAAAAAGGAGCCAGCACCCCATTACCACGACAGGACTCTATAACACAGAGTACCAAACATCAATAAAAATCTTTTCCATCAGAGCCAAGAGTACCTTTATTTACTTCATGGAAGAGAACAGTTTTCCCACAAAATTAGAGAAGTAGCTCCACAAAACTAGCCAGCACAGAAGCATGAATCCTGTCCCAGGAGTCCACAGAGGAATTTTGGTCCATTGTTTAGTTTTAGCAGAATGGAGGAAAGGCTATTAACAAGGGAGTGGTTATACCAAGTTATATGATGGTGATTTTCATATTAATCAAATTCTTAATTCTTTGAGAGTGATAGAGAATCTTGATGATCCTGTTTTCACTCTCAGGTCCTGGCACAATGTTTATTGTGTCATAAACAACCAAGAAATGGGTTTCTACAAAGATGCAAAGACTGCTGCTTCTGGAATTCCCTACCACAGCGAGGTACCTGTCAGTTTGAAAGAAGCCATCTGTGAAGTGGCTCTTGATTACAAAAAGAAGAAACATGTGTTCAAGCTAAGGTAAGAATTGTTTTGCTTTGTGGTTGACTGTGCATGTGTGTTTATCTTTTACTCTGGGTTTGGTTTTCTTAGATAAATACCAGCATTGGTTGATTTCTTTGCCATTAAAAAAAAAATAACCTATAGGGCCTCCCTGGTGGCCTAGGGGTTAAGTCTCAGCACTGTTAGCGCAACAGCCTGAAGTCGATCCCCAGCTAGGGAGCTGACCCACCTATGGTGTGGCAGACCTCTCCTGTCTCACCCACTGCTCCCCTCAGCAGTGTATTTCAGTAAATCTTCCTGTTCTGCACTCCACCCTGTCTGATGAATCTTTCCCCCTGCCACCTCAGGCCTACACCCCAGTTCTTCTATGCAAAAATAAATAAAAATCTTTTTAAAAATTAAAAAATAATAATTAAAAAATCCCCAATAAAGTGACAAACTGGTATCATATGCATCTTGGTTAGGATTTTGGGCTCCTCAATCACTGGTTTTCTGGTTAGTGGCGCAGCTGAACATTGAAAAAAAGTATCTTCCTGTTTATAACCTGGCAGTTACTGTTCCCTAAGACAAAGTGAGCAGTTCCCATTTCACAACTAAAAGATAGCTTGAGAAAGGGGCTTTCTCATCTTTTCAGATAATCCAGACCCAGGAGCTGCTGTTCTTTGTTGATGAGTTAACTAGAGATAGGTCAAGTGAGTCATCCTGAAGCCAGAGGGAGACAAACAGGAAGTACGTGTGAGGACCCAGCACATTGCACCCCTGACTCACCCAGCAGATGTTCCTGCTGCCTCTGCAACCATTTAGTCCCAGAAGTCTCTATACTGCAGGACACATACACCTTCTCCCGGGGGCTCTAAGTTCTGCTTGTACTTGGAAATGGACAAAATAACGATTTTATCTTTGAAAAATATAAAAAGAAAATATATTAGTGGTTAGGCTGTCACTTAATTAATACTTACTTGGGGATCTGGAAAGCTTTGGGTCTTCAGTTACATGTATGTATCTTGCCAGTTGGACCAGGTCAACCTCTATGGATGAGAGTTCCACATGGTGAGCTTTATTGAGTTCTGTTGACAAGCACTATAGGCAGGCTTTCTGGGACTTGGAATACACTCTATTCCATTAAGGCAGGCGCAGACAGCCTGGCTCCCACTTTATACTCACATGATACAGCTTCAGAGAGTTGGTATTGGCAGAAGGCACTTACCTCTTCCATACCAGCATCACCTCCTTCCTCTGGAGGGAATCACTGTTCCTCTGGAGGGAATAAGTGAGCCATCCAACTCATTGACCTCGGTGTCATGGCAGTGGCCTCACAAGGGCAGTTTCTGTCATCCTAGGACATCTTTTCTGTAGGTATATTCAGAAACTGGTATTTGTAAATATGGGAGATACAAGCAAGCTATGCAGCAAAATTTCAGAAAGGTTCGTAATTTTTGAAGAGCTTTCTCTTGAATTCAATCTAGAGCAGTGATCATACATCCAAGTGGTCCTTGCTACAGCACAGCCACATGTTTGGCATGTTTGGGACTTCTTGGTTCTTCCAGGGCATTGAAACCCCAAGTGCCTGTCTTGATTATATTGGCCCTACCACATGGTTTCTTGATATCCAAGAAGCCGTTGCTGGGCCCGTGTGGAGTGCCTTTGGGGTGATGATGCATGCATAGCTCTGATGGGTGTTTCTCCTATGACTCCCCTGGCCTGCTTGTGTCCCACATAGGATATAGGAGTTGGGGGAATCTTTCTTCTTAAGTTAAATTGTGACTGACTTTCTCCTTCATACTGCAGGTTAAGTGATGGTAATGAGTACCTTTTCCAAGCCAAAGACGATGTAAGTCTCTAAGATTAATTTCTATCAAATATTTAGTTTGTAAGTATTTGTGGCATGATAGCTTATTAACAGCTTCTGTGTTTAAATAGTGATCACTGATGGCTTCTGTGATCTGTCTCCACAGTCACTGACACTGGAAGGTGTCTGGTTCTTTCATGTCTTTGAGAGGCAGTAAATTTGTCATCTTGCCATCTCCTTACGCTGGCGAAAGAGAGAATGCAGGGTCCCTTCAATCTGTGAAGGAATACTTGCCCACTCCCTCCAAGTGGATGAGGCAGCATAGCAAGATAGTCCCAGCACCAGAGCCTCCCTACTATACCCCAATGCCTTTAACCAACCATCTCATAGTTGTGCTCCACCTTGAGGGAGAGAGTGGGGAGACCGATGAAAAAAACACCTATGCTTTGAAATTGAAAAGCAGCTCCCGATAAATGTTTTGTGTCAATTATATATATAAGCGTACCTATTAAAAGAAAAAGTAGACGCAACCTCTATAGTGGGCCCGGCAACCAGACTTCCAGCTCTTGCAAGTTATAGGACTGTCAGGTTTTAAATTCTGTTGGAGTTGAACTGTACTCACTGTACTCAACAGGGAATAGCGTGCCCCTGAGTTAGGGGTCTCTGTTAGCCAGACATGCTGTTTCCAAGACATTGGGCCAGTGGAAGCAGGATGGTCATGCAGGTGGGGTGAGGCATCTGTGCCATCCTCAGCTGAGTCTCACCTTGCCTCCTCCTTTGTTCAGGAGGAAATGAACACATGGATCCAGGCCATCTCCTCCGCCATCTCCTCCGATAAACACGAGGTGTCCGCCAGTACCCAGAGCACGCCAGCATCTAGCCGGGCACAGACCTTGCCCACCAGCGTCGTCACCATCACCAGCGAGTCCAGTCCCGGCAAGCGGGAGAAGGACAAAGAGAAAGACAAAGAGAAGCGGTTCAGCCTTTTTGGCAAAAAGAAATGAGCTCCTTTCCTTCATCTCCTGCCCTTCTCTTACCTTTTCAGTGAAATTCCAGCATGCAAGCTCAGAACCAACACATTACTCTCTGTGCCTAATGTTCCTCAATGTGGTTGATTTTTTTTTTTTAATTTATAGAGCATTTCCGGGGGGTGGGGGGGAAACACCTAAACACTTTATCTCCAAGTTACAAAAGTCTGAGGTGCAGAGGGAGGACCAGATTTTTTAATGAATTATATAGATTAGATCTCAATATTTACTGTTCCTCAATTTTGTGAGGCTGTGTTGGAAATAACCCGCCTCTAGTGCTGTTGGTATGCAAGGCAGCGGTGCTTAAACAATATTTCCTGTGCTCACCAGAGAAACAACGTACCAAGTTCCTGACACCGTTCTCTTCCATTTACCCCAGTGGTTACCCTGAGTCCTGACTATAGAAGTGCCCGTGGTGGGTCTAATCTTGATTAAGCAGACCGCGTGCTAAGATCTCGCTGCAGCCATAGTGCAGCTCCCTGTAAACTCTACAGACCAAACCATTTGTATCAGGCATCACTTACTAACACACGACATGCGGCTTTTCTGCATCAACTGCGACGACGGTTCAGAATGTCGGTATACAAGGAGTAGGAAACTGATACTGTTTTAAATAATCTGTAATTTCAATTTTTTTTTTTGCTGAAATACATTATATTGTATGTTTGAGATAATTCTAGTACAAAGTATAATAAAGTTAGATGTATAATAAACCCTTTAAATCATTGGTAAGTGTACAAGTGGAACTGAAGCATTTACTGGACAAAGTAATGTTACTCTAATGGTTACTTGCTCGTGCGTTGCCACACTGTGTTATAATTTGCTTCATTACCTTGCTATTTGATACATAGTGTGCATTTCTGTCACTGTAATGATTGTAATGACAAATTTTCATCTTACTGCACAATCAAAATGGCATTGATAGGAATGAACTTGAGACTGG